CCACTGAGCTCGATGTTCAGCTCTTCTCATCCAACCACTGCCAGCCACCCTGCGGATGTCGTCAGTCCACCTAGCTGGAGGGCGCCTTACACTACGTTTGCCTAGACGTGGTCTCCACTCTAGAACACCTATTTAGTCAAGCGTTTCTTTTTCAAGTACACATACTTATAGATAAAATAGTTATCAACAAAAATATTTTACTCTTCAAGAATTCACTTTTGTTATGGTAGTCTAGCTGGATTAAAACCAGTTACTGATTCATTTAATCCTATTTATAAAATCGCGGGCGTGGATCCAAATAAAACCAAGATGGGTTATAATTTACGAGATACTGATCCGTAGATGTCTGGAATATTCATCGCAGGTGAAGGTTAAACGCATATAGTATAAATAGCAAAGCAAATACTTAAGTCTACTCTTGGAATAACTCTTAAATATGTTGGAGTCTACTTTAAATTTAGTTTCAAATAGATTTCACCCCAAATTGATCTTAATTGTTCATTATTTTTCTAAGCAAAAATCGAAGACGTAAGCAAATTGTTCGCTTAGCTAGAATCGTCAACTACGCAATCGTAGCATTGAAATAATAATATTTTAACAAGCATGTTTAATAATGTGCATGTCAGAAATATTATATTAATTTGATAAATATTTTTATCATACGATTGAATGATTAGGCCTAAGTTAAAACGACGTGTTGATGGATGTATAACAGATTAGTGTTGTGCACACACATGACTGCCTTCATGTCGACCTCAGGCCACGTACAGAATGTCAGGGCGATTTGCTCAAACGGCCACAATCTAAGTAATCGGAGCTCTCTTCATGGCAATCAGCGAATTCTAATCAATTACACACATCTTATTGCAGATGAATTATGTAAACAAACTTCAAATTATCTATTATTATATCTGTACATATAATATTCTTATCTGACGTTTTATTTTCATGTACCAATTCTTCTATACTGCTGCGTAATCATCAGGTGCTAGAAGAAATGCTTTCGACTCGACACCATGGTCCAGACCATTTTAAGAACAATAGTTTTTACGAAGGTTCATAAGACAATAAAGAAAAAATGTGATTGTCTCATTTTTCATGACGATCAACAGGTTATACCTAATAGAAAAAATAATAATTGATACCTAAATAAGTTTGTGTATTAAAATACTTAAATTAATTTCTAACATAGCATTCATGTCAATGGTATTGAAGTCAATCAAGCCTTACCACTTAATTAAAGCCAATGTTTATTCAAGCTTGAAACGTGAAACACAGAACTTAGAACATCGTTTACTCGACTGCACTTATTCATACTTACTTTGTGACTATGTGGGTAGGTATGGACGTAAGAAACTGGGTTGTGAGCAAGGAAAAAAACAATTTCAACACACACTTATTAAATTAATCTCTATACATCTCTAAACGGCTTGAGCGTGACGTTTAGGTAGGTAGGTCGGTATATGGATAAAATAAATGTAAATGTATTCCAATTTTTATTATTTGTTTTGCGATATAAGATATTAAGTACCTATTTGGTATTACATATTGGAGTAAAATAATGAGATTTTCCTTAAAATTTTCCATTTATATTGATAAATTTTTACATGTACAGTCAAAAGACAACGAAAAGAACCCGAAGTTTATGCAGTAGGTACGTGTATGTGCCAATCAATGAATGAAAGACTGATTGACTAGTAGCGATGCACGCAAGTGTAAACTGCGCGTCCATCGCTAGTCGTTTAGGTTTAATTATGCTTAGTAAAAACTTTTGCAATTACAGCAGGTATGTATATAGTATGCAGGTATGTATATCCTCAACCGGGGTTGCAGAGCTAGCACATAAGGTCGCAGTACCTTGCCTCGGCCTAAAGCAGAAGGAACGGGGTCATTTTTAGTCAGTAAAGCTCTCCCTCTCGTCTCACCCTGGACGAGAGAAGCAATTTGATGAATTTGCCCTTTCAAAATAAGGAGGTACTTATATAACATGTGTTCCTTTTTATAACCAATATTTTTTTATCTTAGAAACAAACCTATTTTTTATTTTAATAAATGTAGTTAGGTACTCCCAAACCACGTGACTCATCAGAAATTGTTTCGCCTATTCAGTAAACTTTATTTTGTTAAAAAGTGTCACCACAAAAAAAATTACCTTGATCCAGTTTCCCTGAAATTAAATATTTGGAAGTAGTTTGACTAAATACCTATTATATGTATTTACATAGAGTAGGAAGCATGACACATCATCCGGATTTTCCGATAGAAAAATCGAAGGGCACAAAATTAATCTTAACTACATACTTAATAGTTCCGCTTGTACTTAAACTTGCCCATTAGTAAGTAAATAAACATGTAGTAATATTTATTTAAGTTGTTTAGGTACATACATAATTATCATATTAAAATACCTAACGTTAAAATCATAAACTAAGGACTTCGTTATAAGATTGTGTTGTATATCTACGACTCCTAAACTAAGGCAGTAATCAGATTTTCACTATTAGATATTAAGACTAAATGATATGTTATAGACAACTTTCAAATTACTTAATCTTTTCTAGATCTAAGAGAAACTGTTAAGAACTCCTTCAAATGTATTCAATATTGTATAGAATTAAAAAAAAAACATTGAAAACATAACAGCAACCGCAAAACAACGACGAACACTTGTAGATTGAGCACTTATGTATTACATAAGTTGAAATTCAAACAGCCACGTGTCTGGTGCAAACGTGTATACCGAAGTATATCATAATCACATAAAAACGGATTATAAGTGGAAACGTTGATTTCAAACGAACTATTTCCTACGATTTCAAGACAGAGATGCGTACGTTAAACCTTTCTAATTACTGTTATTGAAATGCAAGCTTTCATCGTTCCTACATACGGATGCTAATGAATTACGCAACTGCCCGATTTACTCTGGGTGCGTTGCCCAAAGCCGTGCGTTATGAATACGACCTCGTTCGTTCTCTAGTACCACTGTTTGTGAATGACAGAATAGTTATAGTTAAACGCTAAGACAACGCAAGAGTAAGTCAAAATCTTGATAGAACAAGGCTGCTCAACGCACGTCTTAGTATAAAACACAAGGCCTTCAAAATACAATCCCTATTCAACCTAATACAATTTAGATCGTTTCAGTCTTACTGGCTTAGTAATATCTGTCTAACAATCTATATGTTGGTTTAGACACCAATTAACTTATAATTAGAATGTGCCTAATTATAATTTATTGTAGTTAATTATTCAATAAATCGTACCTACAAACGTCCAACTATTAGTAAGCGGACAATTGTTATGAAGTAACTATTCATATTTCATAGCAACTGCACGAGCACCTAATTACGTATTGAGGTAAGCATACGCTGCCACGACGCTGGGTGCTGCAATACAAGGAGTCGCTAGGATACATCGCTCATTTTTAATGAGTTTATAAATATTCACGAATATAAACGAATGCAATAATACATATTTGGTAATTGTTTCAAGTAGGTTAGTTAAAGCGGTTATTCGATATAATAACTTTTATAAGACTAGGAACTTAAAGATCTGATTTAATGACCATAACAACAAAGATGAATGTGTTATGCCAATTTATCTATGAGCTAATCCCAAAACTTTTTATTGTACGTCGTGACAGCTTAATACTTGAACTTTTAAAAATTAGATAAAATAATAATTATCTTTTATCTTCTAACAATTAATAAACGTTTAAAGATCCGCGAACATGTCAATAAACTTTACAAATGTCGAGGACAAAAATCCGTCTACCTCAATAAGGATTTAGGTGTTTAAAATAAAATGTAGTGAATATTTAGGTGACGTGTTTATCTATGTAATTTATTGTAATAATGAATAAAAATAATTCTCCACAGATATGTATTAAATTACAGTTGCTTTCAAAAGCCCAGGTTTTATAAATCGAAAAACATAATGATCTAAATACATGAAACTTAATTTTCATTTGAAGAGTTTTAATTATTTACGTTATAGGACTTTTAGTTATATTTTAAAAGCAACTTAATCATTAAATTTGAGTTAATTCCCACATTAAAAGACTTAGATAAATAGGTTTTTTAGAGTTAAAAGTCATCAAATGACGTTGGTGAGAGGCGTGGTCCTAACTAAAAATCAACCACCCCATTTCGGAGTCAGACCATGGTACAACATTGACCATGTACTCCCAACGCACCGTAATAATGTAAGTAGATACTTCGATACACGTTGACATAGGATAAACTTTATGTCCTTATCAAGCAAGATATTTAAGTATACACAATCACAAATTCTAAACACAGTGGATGAGTCAGTGTCCAATATTTGCGGTTGACATCACTGGTTTAATAGCACACCTTTAGTATAAGCTCATAATTTGTAGTAATTTCAGTTTGGTTGATGACACTTCTTAGGGCAAAAACGTTAATGATATTTTGTGAATAATTTGTGAACAGAAATTCAAAAACATGTTGTTTTTAGGACATAGTTAGTTATAATCGCATACGAAAATGAATTATCATTTATCATGATGGAACAAAACAAGATTACGTGACCCGCTAACATCCTAGGTTATTTAAAGGGGAGTTAATTATAATGTCCTACTTAAAAGTTAAAATATAATATTCTATTAAAGTACCTATAGTATAAAAATGAATTGCAAAATATGTTGGTAAGTACATAAGTCAACAACAACTGGACCAATTTTCACAATTTATTTTTTGGTATATTTGTTTGTGTAAATAGCGGAAATTTTGAGATCAGTTTCGTCGTTGGCGAGGTGCACACCCATGCGAAGTAGGGTCAGGTGAAAAAATTTGATCTGGTACATAAATGTAGGGAAGTAGGCAAATTCTAGATAAAATCCCCAGAACACATAAGTATTTACCCAAACAATAAAAATAAGAATAATTAAACATTCATCAGACATCAGACATTCGCATTATCGTCTTCTTATTTTGGTGGCAAAAGATTTCAAATGACATAGGAAAAGAACTTACCGGGTATAGCCATTCCCAGTTCAAGATATTCCTTTACAGAGGGGCTAAGAAACGCTGGAGGAGCAGGAGCTGCACCTTGTTCTGGATCAGGGGCGTCCAAAGCCTGTGCTGGTTCACGAGCCACCGCACTACTATCTGCACGGACTCGCTTCACCCGACTGCCATCTTCTGACCCCCCTGAAAAACATACAAAAACAAACGACAAAATGTCAACATAGAAAATTACACTTTACATTCCAAAAACTTGTTCAATAACCTAAACAAAGTAAGTTTAAATAAACTTAACTTACATAATTTTAGTAAAAACATACCTATTACAAATATGAGCAATAAACAGAAATAGGTCCATACCTTACCTTATAACTAAGAAGACTGGTAAGAACTAAGAACATATTGATAACTAAGGACTGTACTGAAAAGTGCTGAAAACTGAGCAACAAACCAAATCATAAAACGCCTAGGCTTGGGACTTTAAGCTGTTCTTGCAAAAGGCTCATGGGAAATTAAAATAAGTACAAAAGAAATATAAATTTCAAGGGATGATGATCTTTGAAGATAATAAGAGCCGCAGTAACAACTTAGTACTTATAATAAATCTAGGCAGTATCTACTTCCAAGAATGGAATTGAATTGTATATTGCTATTAATACTTAAAGCGAATCTTAAGGGCCAGCATTCAGGTATATTTACCATTTTTCGCAACATCTTCGTACCTAGATAACGTTTAAAACATCTGAATATGCAACTTCAAGAAACTCTACTTTAAAAGCAAACTATTTACCGAACAAATTTAAACCTATAAATTGTTAAAAACAAACTAAATAAAAAAGTTGTTTAAGCTTACCGGTTAGAACAAGTATCGACAGAAGCACTGAAGAAAATAAACCAAAAACCTTCTTCGCATACATCTTGAATATAAAAACAATATTTCCAAGCAAATTAAATCACCAAAACATATGTAAACGCATATTTAAGTTAACCGTGTCACAATCGAAAAAACTTCAGCCGGCATTGAAGTAGATTGAAGGTCTCAGAAAAGGATTGACGAATTTCGAAATATGGCTTATTGCTATTGTGGTTGATTAATAACCGCGCCGGACGCGAGTTTTGTGTACGGGATTATTTTTCTTGCATAGCGGAACGATCCGACGTGCGCTTTCGAAGGCAGCCGAGCGCACAATGTTCATGCAACGCACATAGCTTGAAGATTCTATTCTAAGAGCCAGGCTGACCTCTAAACTTCTTCGGCGACTATATCACGACTCCATGGGAATATTCTTGTTCAAAATTTAGTCCTTGCGAGTTTTATACTATCATTACATAGCTTCACGCATAGTCCCCCGAGGGTTATGCAGTAATTGACGCTTGAGTTATATCCGTGCGGGCTTATTTACAAACAGTGATAAAAGTAACCCATGCCCTGATTGGGTCTAAGTCTAGTGGGTTGGACTAATCTACATACAACTTAAATGAATGGAAACGTATATTCAACTTACGTGAACTAGTAATTCATTAAGAAGTAATGCAAAAGCCAACACCACCAATAAGTATTCGAATTTACAAAAAATTCTGTTCAAAAGTTTCCTGACTAGGTACTATTGGTTAATAGTGGGTAAGTACCTAGGCAGGAAACTTTTTGTGGTAACCGGACAACCAATCTCCAAATGTGTAAAATTGGCCAATCCCCAGATTCCTAACCATGAAAGGGGAACAACGCACTCGTAACTCCTCTGGTGCTACGGGTGTCCTTGGGCGACGCTTACTTACGATCAGTTGGGCCAACTGCGTTGCCCGATACCATAAAAGATAAAATAAATTTAATAAGGTAGTTAAAGGGTGATTCTTCACATCAATTAAAAAAAAATTAATAATGTCATTATCCTCAACCGAAAATTAACGAGTCTGCTGATTAAAACACAGATAATTATTTTATTAAATTAAATCTCACCACTGCTTACAAGCAACCGATTAAAAATATTGTATAAAATAAATTACTAAGGTGCTTAAAAACCTGGGAGGATAATGACTTGTTAAACAAAAGTTAAGGTTTTTTGGAGAATCACCCTAAAAATTGTTGAAAATTTTCATAAACAACCTGGATAGTGTAATGTGATTATGAAGCTAACTATATCATATTCCATAAAAAAAATCTAAAGCCAGCACCCACATCATAGGTGGCAACTGAACAAAAGACATAATAAAGATAATAACACCACTTCAAGAAGATGCAGATGCCTCCGACCACCCTGCCTGAAAGACAATAAGTCAAGTCTGAGTTCAGAGGGTCTACCATGACGTGTCAAAGCGTCAGTCTTCAAGCGTCAGTCAGTCAGAAAGAGGGATGGAGCTATAAAGAGTGTATAGCTCCATCCCTCTTTTTCGCCCGGAAGATTCACGCTTTATCACGTCATGGTAGGCCTACAGTATCTTGTGACCGGGTGATGATTACGATGAAATGAATTTTGAATTTTTAACCGGTTCCAAAAAAAGGGAGGTGGTTCAGTAGGGTATGTTAAAGATATTCCTGAGAAACTTCTCAAAAAACAACGGAGTAATGTCTGCGATTGAGCTGAAGTAATACATATCAACTTCAAGCAACAGCAGCATCTCTGACTATGCGTGATGAATCTGATTAACATAGATAGTACTGTCGTAGGATTTTATAAAAAAAAAACGTGACACGTATCTATGAATACCAGAGATTCCCAAACTAACTTTGACCTCAGCTCGAATCAGTTTGATTAAACTAAAAAAAGTATATAATAAAATACTCTTGCGAATCTCCACTCAAGCCAGCCAATGAGGTAGGAGGGGTTGTTCTTCATCAGTTTTCACTCCAGCTCGCCACAAGGACTAACCGGAGACGAAGAACAAGACAGGGACCCGGGAGTCAGGTCCGTGGGGTCGCCACTGCCCAACAGCTCGCCACAAGCTGCCTTGCGGATTTATTATTGTATGTATTTACCAATCACGGGACCACAAGGCCGCGGTCGTTTGGGAGGCGTCCGAGGGGCCGGAACCAACTGCGCAGAGGCCCTTTAGTCAACTTTGATCTAAATGAAATGGGACACAAACCGGCGACTATACCTGTATGCACTATGGAAATGCATCCAAGGACAGTCCCCGGTTAGTGTAGGACTATTGCGAATAATGGAAACAAAGTACAAGGCTATGGGTGTGGGTTGTTATGGACTGGTATAAAGGAACTATGGAAGGACTAATGGCACCTGCCGAAACAATGTAATAACTACACCTAAAAATGGTTGCTAGAAATAGCAACAGGCTTAAGGGTGAAGGAACTGCCACCAGGTTTCTACTCAGATCATCTGCATCTGCCTAAGCATCCTGCATCACTGGCCCACTCGCCGCTTACAACTTCCTCCCTTCGAGCAGGATCACTACTCTCGTGACTCCACGAAGGCAAGCCTGAGGTGGGAGACCTGTTCCCCGTCATCGTTCACTCCGGCCAGATGATAAAGGCAAGCCGGAGATAAGGAACGGTGACTTCTCCCTGGAGCAGTCGGGATGATGGTAGCCCGCGGGATCGCTAATTCCCGTCACCTCGCCTCAAGGTGCCTTGCGGGATTATTATACACTCGGCGTCACAAAAATCGCACCTCTTTATAAATTCCCTTCAAAGTCCTTTTAACACTATTAATCAATGGTAGACATATGTTTATGAGGTATCATTGGAAAGGCAATTTATTTAAATTTCAGAATAAATCAATGGATGTGGTTATTTGTTTACATGGATATAAAAAAAGCAAGCTAATGCAAATGATTAAAAAGGAAATTTTTATTTTATCAGTAAAAACTACAACAAACTCCTTTTAAACAACTTAAAACCTGTTACCCCCTGGCCCTGATTACTGCTTCCATGCGTTCTCTCATGGACCTGATTAATGTGACAACAGTCTCTTGCGGAATGTTGTCCCATTCTGCAACCACGGCATCTTGGAGGTCTTGAAGAGTGGTAGGGGTAGGATCACGTGCCCGTACTCGCCGTTTCAGTTCATCCCAAAGATTCTCAATAGGGTTCAGGTCTGGAGTTTGCGCCGGCCAGCGCATAACAGGGATTCAAACGTCTTCCAGGTAGTCTCTTACAATTAAAGCGGTGTGACAGCGGGCGTTATCGTGCATTAACGTGAACCCACTGCCAACAAAACCCGCATAAGGGACAACCTGCTCCTCTAAGATCTCTGTTATGTACCGAGCAGCAGTCAGCGACCCGCGAGCACTTCCAGTCCGAGAAATACACACAAGGTTAGTTTTGCCGTCGATTGACATGCCGCCCCAGAACATACACGACTACACGAGCCACCCCCATATTCCATTGTCTCTTGAATACAGGCTTGTGCGAATCGTTCCCCTTGCCTCCTATGCACTCTTCGACGCCTGTCGTTGCAGAAAAGACACACCCTCGTCTCATCCGAGAAGAGCACAGCCCCCCATTGATCTATTGTCCAATCCACATGGTTACGGGCAAATTGCAACCGGTCTCTCCTATGCTGTGCAGTCAATTTTTTCCCTGTAGCAGCCCTATGACCTCCAATTTTCTTCTCCTGCAGCCTTCTTACAGAAGTTCTGCGAGCTGATCGCAGTTGTTGTTGCAGCTCAACAGCATTGGAGAACCGATTACGTAAAGACGTCGTAACAATGAAGCGATCGTCTCTTTCGGATGTGCACCGTTGTCTTCCAGATCCACGTCTTCGGATATAGCCACCCGTCTCTTGGAAGCGTTGGAACACTCGTCGAACGGAAAAACGACTCAAGTTCAGGTGCCGAGCAACATCACACTGCCGCATCCCTAATTGCAGTAGTGCAATGACTTGAGAGGCTTCAGCTGCAGTAGTATCCATCTTCTGGGGTATTTTTCTTGCTGTAACTGTTCACGTGTGTTCACTTCAAAGGCTGAATAGCGAATGACCCACATTTTACCTGGGTCGCTCGTTTTATACCCTTGTAGGGAGACTCAATTAGTGGCCGTTGTAATGCGTGTTTTGACAACATTTTTTTAACGTTACGTGCTAATGAGATCTATTCTAACTATTGTTAATTTAAAGGTATTAAACACGCTTTCAATTGATACTAATATTAATTGGGTTTAATGTATTCATTGCTAGCGGGATATGCTTTAAACTTATTATTGAAGAGGTGCGATTTTTGTGACGCCGAGTGTAGTTATTATTATAGGTATTTATAATATGTTACTCAAAACAATGATCAAAAACAAAATGAAATTTTATAGGTATTTACATCCTCATTTCAATAAATGGCTATTCATTCATTCATTACGGCAATGTAATTAAGTACATTACTTTTGTTTTGATTTTATAAAAGCTTTTCTAGTGAATACTTCAAATACTTACTTTGAGTAGATTGGTGAGGAATGCAGGGAAAAGAAAAAGCTGAGTGTGTGAAGAAAATATCTTTTCTCTTTAAGTTTATTTTTGCAAATAATTTGGCCAATAAAATTTATTTCTGAATAAGCAGACTACTTATGGATAAATGACACGAAATTCATGAATGGACATTTTAGTTTAATTCATTATAGCAAAAAGTCAAAACCGCTCTTTGCCCACCGTACACCTCGTGAGACCACCGTCCTATATAGGTGTGCAGCGGGAAGTTTTTTTTTACTACTGTTCATCCTTGTTCACCTGGGTGTACCGTGGGAAATATAAAATTTCCTCCGTCCACGTCTTATCAAAACTCTAAATATGAAGAACAAAGAGAATAATGATTAAAACTTGTGTAATGCTGTGACATGGACAGCTTCTGTTTATTTTCATAGAAGCAAATTACCTATAAAGCGCAAGAAAAAGAAACATGAATGAATTAAAAGTCAATCAAAACCTAGGCCTACACCGTACCTCTATTCTCTGTCTACGGCTTACACAATATTTTTAGTCTATGATGACATAAGTTTTTTGTTTCTGGTAGGTAAATCTATCTCTCTGTCTGTACTCTCTGGATTTCCGTTTTTCATTCATTCTTCTTGTGCGTATTAAACGTAGTGGTTACATACTCTTTGGTGCGTATTTGCATTTGCGATTGTGTTTGTGTCTACTGTCTACCGGCAATAACGTTTTCAAATCTTCGCATTGTGAATATTGAGATTGTATCTCTATAAACAATATCAACCAATGATTATATAGTGCGTCTTGTTAATCTAAACAAAAAATATGTCCTAAAGCCGTATAATCTGAGACGTTTTGAGAAACTTTCTTAGGAAAACACCATGGGCGAGGAAGACATTAAGAAGTTCTGTCCAAACTGTTCTCAGCTTTATATATTACAACGTTAGTATGAAGTTTATCATGACAAACAAGGCACAATATAAAATATGTAGCTACCTGTGCCTATCATATTTTTTCTCTGTCTTAAAAGTCGGTTTCACAAATCAGATAAATTGTTATTACTATGTTTTAATGACATGAGTGAGAATGGCAAATATCATAATGCTATTTATCTTTTAATTGATTTTATCTTAACCCCATGGTCTCACTGAGCCATCCAAAATATATAAACAAAGAACTTGTATTTTGTTCCCGTACACTAGTAAAATTGTTTTACACTATTAACAATTTCAATAACTACCTCCGATCATTTTTATTCTTTAGCTTCTGTCAATGAAAATTATCTATACAAAACAATTAAATATTCAGTTGTATGGTCATATAGAAATATTATTTACAAGGTCATATAATAAATTGCTCTATTTTCATAGTAAACTCTGCATCAAAGCCGAAAGGAAATTTGCCACTGCTCCTACCATGTGGCCACTCAATGTGTGAAAACTGCATCATAAACATTGTAAAATGTCTGGAGCCTATTGAATGTAAAGTTTGTATCTGTGATGCCGATGTGAAGATCAATGACTTGAATACATTCATTCAAGATAAAAATGTATTATATTCAAAATTTCCCATAAATATTCATATGGTCGGAGAACTGGCTGTGACTCTGATGAAGGTAAAACCTATGATTTATTACATTTTAATACATTGCAATACAAAACTTTATGTAAATCCGTACCAACCTGTATTGTAGCTATTGCAGTGTCCAGCTATGCAATGAACTTCTGTTGCTAGTTGCTATTGAACTTGGTTAAAATTTATTCTCCATTTCTATTTTACTGAGTATAGAGTACAGTATAACAAGATACTGCTACCTACTGAATTATTGTATAATTTATTATGTATGATAACAAAACCAATTAAATTAATAATAGGCAGAACATGTAAATTTTTACTTCATATTTGTAATACTAATGCTATTATTGTTTTTAGGAATCACACTCAACTCGTCAGAAACCCGAAGATGACTTTTTCATTGACCTTAAAGCTTTGTTAAGATGTGCAGCAGAACAAGGTACTTTAAATTAAAATAATAAAGGTAAAGCAACATGTATCGTAAAACAATTGCATAAATTAATTATTGTTGTTTTTCATTCCAGGCAATTGTGTTGAATGCAATGCTACTACATCTAAAATGTGTAAGGAGTGTTGTACCATTTTGTGTGAAGCCTGCTTCAATAAAACTCACAAGAACTACATTGTTTTCAAGAACCATGTTCTACAAAATATTGGTATGGTTTTGTTCCATATGTGCTTATATAAAAAATTATAACAAAGTCAACTTACATTAAATTTAATTGTTTGAACTCTTTCTAGAAACATCTATGCTACCAAATACTTGCAAGCAGCATCTTGACAAACCACTTGACTATTACTGCAAGGATTGCAAGAAATGTGTATGTACAGATTGTATGATCCTTGGTGGGGAAAAGTCTTGCAAGAACCACGAAGTTGTGTCTTTACAGGAAATTGTAAGTTGTTTTTATTCTTTATAATTTAAGGAAAAGTAAGAGATATAAAATTACAGATGTTATTTTCTTTTTCAGAATGGAACCTTCTTGGAAGATTTAAATGAAATTTCACCTAAAGTTGATGAAACCTACCGAAGACTGACAAAAACAGCTGTTGTATGTATTCTTATCAGTGAACATGATAAAGCTTATGTTTATATATAATAACATGTGATTTGTATTGTTTTTAGGACATAGGATATTTGCTTTATAACTATGAAAATGACGCAGGATCAGCAAAAGACCTTACTAATATACTCGCCAGTGTAGAACAACACTTCTCAAAGCTGTTTTCTATCATACAAAAACATAAGGAAGAAATTGTAAACATAATATTGTACTTAAAATTTTCTGAAAAGCACTCTTTGCAAAGAGCTAAGTCTGAAATAGCAAATTCTATCAAGAAAGCTTATAATGTGTTGGATTTAATAGCAGTTGCAACAGACACCAAAAATATTAAAAAGGTAAAGATAAGTCCTATTGATACTAAAATTCATAAAAATGTTTATGGAATATTTTTTTTAAATGTGTTCTTCATTTTAAGATAAATATGCCAGTACTTTTGAAAGAAGCTGAAGAAGTTGTGAATACTCCCTGGTATCTCAGCAAGAAAGAATCAGACAAAGAACCTCTCAAGTAAGATATATTTATTTACATATTATGTAGTATGCAACATCTTGCGGGTTCCACAAATTTTCACTCTGGGTGATTTTAATTTGTAATTTTTTTGTTGTTTATGTTTATTTATACTATGGCAAAAGTTGTTTCATTTGAACACTAGATTCAGGGTTAAATATGTGCCTCATTTAACCCAGCACATTGTGTATGTGCTAGCTTAACTGTTTGGTGAGGTAGACTAGTTTCAAGCCACAAGTATCTTTTTTTAAAGGTTACTGGGTTACTAGTCATAACAACACCATTCCGCGACAAACGACTTGGCAACTTTAAAACATGATTGTTTCAAGCAAAAGAGAACAATCGGAATTTTCATAATTATTATTTCCTATGTATAGGGTGACTGTTAATGAAGAATTGTGTTCACTAGTCAGCGACTATGTGCACTTGGAAGGCAATGTGAAGTCTGTTTACAAAATGTATTCTACATCAGAACTGGGAAGTGATGTAGAGATACCACCGGCCCCTGCCGCACCTGTTCAACCACCGGAACTGGCTAAAGGTCTGTATTGCAGGTTTTATCTTTTATCTGACAAACTAGCCTATTTTGATATTCTTATTGCGTTTGAGTATAAATAAATCACCTTGATTCTCAACACAAATAGTGCATTATTTTAAAGTAATTTCTCTTGTTGGACTAATATTAAAATGTTATGTACAATATTTTTGTTCTAGATGCGAGACTATCAAAACAAAATAAAGCTAAACCTGAAACTACTAAAGCACCAGCTTTATTCACAAGAGTACCCAAGTATCGTAGCAAGAGTGGTTCCGTATCATCTGTAAACTCGAGCTGCAGTGAGAAATCCAACAGAAGCTACATAGTTCAAAGTAAGTGATACTTATTACTCTAGTAAATTAATAGAAAATTATTTAATGTGTTAAAAACTTTTCAAATAGCTTTCCTAGCTTTTTATTACAAAAGTTTTTGATCGCAACTTCGACCTCACACATTAGATAACGGGTTCAAGCAGAAGTTTGATTTGGGACTTTTTAAAGGTTTTTGGCTAAAGCCTAATAGAAGGCTGATTTCACAAAGAATCTATTCGGTATGCTCTTTATCGTGACATTGTAAAATTTTCTGTGGTTAAAAAGACACAGTAAAGTCTGGAAATTTAATCTGCTTAAAAAATGTATTGTAACTGTATAACAATAACAATATTATCGTATATGGTATTATGTGATATACATTTATATAACTAGCATTAATATGCCACGTTGGAACACTACACCATGTCCATATTAGACCAACTGAAATAAAAAATAAAAAAAAATATAATAAAATAAAATTTATTGATAACTTTCTACAAAATATTGTTTATAATAATTTGAAATGAATAGATGTGAAAAGTTTCTTGAAATTAAATCTATTGATATTACAGATCAATATGTAAATCAACCAATTGTTCAGCCAGTCGCACCATTTCAAGAAAACCAACATCCACAGCAGTTGTGTGAAGGTACAGTACACAAAATGTTTGAAAACATAAATTATGTCACTAATATATGTTTATTTACATTTTGGTATGAAGCATAATTGCTTGTGGCATTCTAACAGTCAACCATTTAATAATAAAAGGATGTGTAATATCATAACATTATAAATTGTGATTATGTCCGTTTGTCTTTTATACTTTATGATTGTTGTTATAATTGTACTCACCGTTTTTCTTTCATATATATTTTTTTCAAACTTTTTTGTAACCAGTTATTTAGTAAATGCTTTGGTTTTTCTGTATTGGGGGACCACACTTACCATGTATTTTGTAATTGTGCAAGTTATCTGTGCATCCTCTGTAGTAGAACCAATAAATATTAGTTACACAAAAGAAAATAATAATAAATAATATATATTTTATCCATACCTATCATTAAATACATTCAAAACATACACCTATATAATGATCTATAATACTTACTTAATCCCAGGTTCCCAAGAATTGATCTACGTTACGCACATTGTGGATCCACACAACTTTTTCGTGCAAAGGGCTTGTTTCCAAAGACTGGTTAAAGACATGGTACGCGAATTCCGAAATGCGGTATCTTTCGCAAAACCTTCCGTCAATCACATCTCGCCGGGTAAGCATTTATTAAATTATTATTATTTTTCATATTAAATTCAAAATTATAGTGCCCATTTGTGTAAAACTTTTTGTGTTTTTTAGATTTACCTGTTTTTTAGACCGCTTATTATTATCACTGTTCTTTATTTGTAGGTAAAACATATTTGGCTTTCAACAAGGCCGACAATATGTGGCAGAGATGCCGTGTCCTTGGAATCGACATAAAAAACAATAAGAATCCTGTTGTTCAGGTTTTCTGTTTCGATTTTGGAAGCATCGAATTTGTTTCAGCTGATAAGTAAGTCAAATAATTCCAACACTGTTTATTTAGTCTTCCACCCACATAGTGAACATAGAACCTCATAAAAATCGTATGAATCAGTTGAATGCAGATCGTTTCCTATCAGCCAACTGAAAGTTATTTAGAGGAAATTATATTATATTGGTGAATTTCCTTTACTAAAAAGCTATTTGTTTCCTTTTTAGATTACGACTTTTGCCTCCATCTAAAATACAGTGTCCATATCCACTTGCCATCAATTGTTCTTTGGCTAATTGTGTGCCAATAAGCGGCAGTTGGACTAGTGACGATTCTTTGCTCATCCAAAATATAATTGACAAGTAAGTAAATCAATGTATTAAAAACATATTTCTATCTGAATTTTCAGTTTTTAACTATCAACTTTATGACTCTAGCTTAATTCTTTATCACACACGAAGCCTATGGAAATTGTACCATGCCTTTTTATTTTTGAAATGGTAGACAGAAGTGCGCATATACAAATTCTTAATACTTTTCGAAAGAGTAGTAAGAATGTAGGAGGAATAACACAATTTGTGTTGGTAAAAAAAAATTGTTACTATGTTAAGTATCTGAAATGGTTTTATGTAGCGGTCATCCGCTTTGCGGTAGATACCGCAAAGCGGATGTGGTGTCAGCAAAATTTAAAGTACATAGTCAATAGCGATACGGCACAGTTCCGATATTCGATTCAGTAAAACAATGTTCCAATTAGATGAAGAATAATATAGTACAATATTTATTAATTGCTCTACAAATCAAATATGAGAAAAGCCTTTAGTCAGCCAAATCAGTAGTAACGAGATGTGTAGAGTCAATAGCAAATAATGTAAGAATAGTTTACAAAATATAAACTGAATTTAATAACTACGTATTAAAAGTTATTTTACCTCTAAAATGATTTGTTTAGGTTAATTATATTTTTTACTTTATTACAGCAAGCAGGCAGTGCTTCATGTGCGCCATATGATCCCTATGTCAAACGTGGACTTTAAGTTGGATTGTGATGTGACCACTTTCGAGAATGGAGTCAGCATTGCTCATGCTTTAGTGTTTCACGAACGTGCCAAGATGCCTAATCCAAAACTATGGGTAAATTGTTCTTTCTTTTTGTTTTTGTTTATTTGGTTTTGATACAATGTAGTGATTTCAGGAGCCAATAAGATAGACAAACTGCTCTTAAGATTATCATTAAGTTGTTGCATTACATAATCTAAGTATTTAGTTTATAAGTTAAGGTGTGACACATTGCACAACCTCCCCTAGCGAAAAGTAATTATTTAAATACCTTGAACAGCTGGTCGTCAGTCTGCTTGCGACCACGACATGTGCAACCATGTCGATACGTCCAGCCTTACAAGGCATTTAAATAATTACTGTTCGCGTTAATACCCGTTTAATATGTATGTGAAATTGTAATTGTAATTTTAATGTGTATGTGAAATTGTATGTTTGTAAACGCACCCACGACACAGGAGAAAATCCTAGTGTGGGGCAACGTTTTTTTTTTTAAAAAAAAAAAAAAAAAGTATATTATGTTGCTCGCATGAAACGTTAAAGTTTAAATGTTAGCAAAAAAACAATAGCTTTCAAACCATCTAAACCTACATGTTTATACAAACAATAAACACTTACGTAGAGCAATATCAAATTTCATTAACATCGTTTATTTATACCTATCATAAGAGAAATTCAACCTGCAGTTTATATGTTTTACTTGTCAGACTATCAAGTAACATGATTCTTCTTATATCATTGAACACTCGGTATGACATCATATTTATATCTATAAGTGTTTGCAAGCGTTCCTACAATCTGATCCTTTATTTACCTATGTATTTAATAACGGTAAATATTTAAAAAAATTGATCAAATATTACTTTACTTAACTTTAAAACAACAAGAAAATTGTTTTAAGGTATGTGAAAATCGTATTTAATATGGTTGTCAACAGACATGAACTAAACTTTCATTTATCCAACTACATCAAAGTTTATTATCTACTAGCTACTCTCGCGCGGTTTCACCCGCTGCTCAGCTCCTACAGATCGTACCGTGATGTTTTGTAGCCTACATCACTCGGGAATTTTGTAGCTACCTATCAGTGAAAGAATTTTGGAAATACGACCAGCGTTTCCAAAGATTAATGTCTGTAAGTTTGTAATTTTGTATGTAGGGGACATACAAACTTAACAAATTTTACCTCTTTATAATATTAGTATTGATTTAAAAACTCTTCGTTACATCATATCTATATTTAACATAAGCCTAGTTTTTTTTGTGAGGGGAACATCATTAAATGACTTCAGGGAGGGTCAGACTCTTACTGACTAAAAACCCTTCTCCTGCTCCGGGCCGAGGTCGGGGTGCCTCATTGCGCTTACCCCGCAACCCCGGCTGAACCGGCCATAATGTCACCTACCCGCACGTAGGTCGAATAAGAGACATGTTATTCTTCCTCCTTTAATTTAAGGGTCCATTATTTAACTGTGAACATAATTTGTGTGGTGTGATTCATACTACAATTTGATGGTAAGCAATCGGTATCCTTAGTTGACAATACAAGCGCGTTACTGGCCTTTAGGTGATATAATTGAAACTTCAGTCTTGTTTATACATGTCACCGGAAAATAACAAGATTCGTAAGTTTATTAATTTACTAGGAAGCTTATAAACTTTCGTAAGATTCTAAACGGGAGATAAATTGTAATATTTTACGTCCACAATTTCGTAAATTTATAAACTAACGAATATCTATTCGTAAGATTTTATATGGTTCGACAAATCACAAAAACTCTTTTAAATATACGATCTTTGAAATACGTAAAATAACACACTGCTCTCTGATTGGTCTATGTTCATAGTGGCATTATAGACTTTGGAATAATCAGACTTGACAAACTATTAATTGGAAGAAACAATGCCTGGTTCCTCTCTGGCACGGATGTGGTGAGTTGAGTTTTCTATTATCAGTTTCAATAGCAAACCGGTTTGTTTATGTTCCGTGGCCAGCAATGGCGGCCGCGACCCGCGAGGAAGGAGAAGTGACACGTAACAGCCAACCAATCAGATCGCGCGTAGCGTTTGGTTACTGCTTACTTATTATTTTACGAGTGAGTTCAGTAAGTTTATCAATTTACAAAATTGTAGTCGTAAAATATTACAATTTATCTCCCGTTTAGAATCTTACGAAAGTTTATAAATATCCTAGTAAATTGATAAACTTACGGATCTTGTTATTTTCCGGTGACATACATATACATAAATAGCGGTCGCCCGCGGCTCCGCCCGCGTGAATGGCGATTTAACTCCTTTTTTTCTCTACGGAAAACTTTTCTGGACTTCGACGAATAATTCAAGACCAACATTAGCCTAATCGGTAAAGGCATTGTTGAGTTATAACATGACAATGAAAAGTGGCACTGATTTTTAAATGTATAGATAAGTACTGAAGTTTATGTCAACCTTATGAGTGTAACAGTAATTACTTTTCGTTTTTGCAGTATCCAACAATTGTGGGTATAGAGGAGAAACCAAAACTGTATCATTCCAGTGACATAAAGACTAAAGAAGAAGTATACATAACACATGTAATTAACCCAGACAAGTTTTATGTGAGAAAGGTAATAAATAATATAGAAAATATATTAAAGTTCAAGACATAATGTAAATTTGGTATTATTTGATAATTTTAATTATATCTTTCAGCATCATCTCCAAGAAGTTTACGACAAACTTACTGAAGAATTAGAGCAGGAATACAGCCTTGCTTCTACTACAGGCACTGTGTATTTACCAGAAAAAGGTAAAAAATATTTTAATTATCTTTTGAGAGTTCTATTTTTTCGTCTATCGTCATTTATCTATTCGTCTCTCCCATTGCAAAAATACTAATATGAAAATAGTTTCAACGACATTTGCGTCCTGGCATTGAATCGCACTAAATGTTTCCGCAAAACAGGAGAAAAAGATGTTTTTAGTAATGTTACCCTTTACTAGAGCTTTTTTGTTTTTGACTAAAAATAGAATTTTCAACACTTCCTCATTAAGTGGCTCTAATCCCATTTTTATCGAACTGTGACTTTTATATTACTATTATTGACAAGTGAGTAATAGCGTTTTTTATACATATTACATTTGCGCTATGAAGTCCAAAAAACAGAATCCTCAGTTTTTAGTCTATGGCTGCTGCGCGCGCATAGGAAAACTGATTAATTTTTCCAGTCATTACAAAACCTTTTTTCACAAATCATCTCGTTTTCACTTTTGAAGTTGGTTTTTTATTAAAGTATTATTTTATTCAGAAGTGTGTTGAAATACGTCGTATGATACTCGTGTGTATTGATGATCACCGATGATTACACATGTGTACCATAGTACTATTATTTAATGCTTTGTAACTTGGACAAATAATACGGTAGTTTCCAACTAGTCAAATTCAATACTTTTATCCAAATGACAAAAATGATCCTTTTCTATGAAACTTGTATGAAAAACTGAGTTATGACGTCATAACATTTTTGCGTCAAATAGCTTACTTATTTGTAAAAAAGAACCGAAAACTTAGTGTATCGATCGATCGATGAATAAAATATCGTTATCTTTCAATATTTTATTGTATTGAAACAACGAATTAATTTATTTTTGACCTAAGAAATTACCCAATTGTGTTGCAGGTAAGGTGTATGCGGTGAATTTGGAGAAATGTCAGGAGAATACGTCAGAGATCCGATGGGCGCGCGGCGTAGTGACGGAGCTCCCAGGCCACAAGCGTGTGAGGGTGCACCTCCCCGATTGTGGCCGCTGTCTGCTCCTGCATTGGTCCTCACTGCGTTACTTACAAACAAAGTTTACAACACTTAGTGCTCTGGTAAGTTATTGTTTACTACTTGTAACAACACATTGTACATAATATGTTAAGTCAACAGCTAAGACAATATTAAGCATAGCTCTCATATAACATTTATGATTTTTATAAAATTAGTAATATACACGTCAGTGAAAACAGGCAGGATGTTGGCTCCAAAAAGTAAATTAAGTATTAGCATATGATGAGTCTAGCTCTAATAGTCTTCACAGGCGAATGAACGTGTATGTTTCTTCAAATTAAATACGTATTTTGTTCGAGTATCCACACCAGCGCCCACGTTTTATAATAATGTCCTGTCGCGTTAAAGTTCCAACGCTTGGCACATCGGCCGCCCTCGATACGACATACATAATTAAATCCATGTCTTGGTTCCATGAAGACAAGCAGGAACTTTGGAACGGTACTTTTGAATACTGATAGAAAATAATATATGTTCTATATTTCCCATACGAGAGAGTACTGTAAAAAGCCTGTATGGTGTAATCATGTTAACGAGGTCGACTTTGTATGGTGCATCTAAATATTACTAAATATTGCCATTTTCTTCCTTTCTACAGGCCACTGAGTGCCACCTCGCGGGCATAACGCCCCTCAACAAGCAATGGAGCTCTGTTTCGGTTGAATTCCTTAAAAAATATAAGGAAACTTTACTTGAACTCCACGTTGAAGACCATCGCAACAAAACTAGACGCAACCACGGATCTATCGGAGTCATTCTTTACGATAAAAATAACACAGAAAACTCAGTCTGCATTAACAATGAGATGATCAAACATAAGTTTGGTGTTTCCTTTGGGTAAGAGTTTTAATAATATTACTTTTGTTACTTTTTTGAGAAAGGGCGGCAAACGAGCATACGGATCACCTGATGTTAAGCAATGGTCGCCGCCCATAGGCGCCTGCAAAAAAGAATATTTATAAGCCCGTTGCTGGCTTATTGGGTTAAGGATTTGAAGCTTGAGGGGAAGAACCGGTAAACTCACACAGCTAAATACAAAGTTCATATGGTTGTGTGCCGGTTTTCTGAGAGGCCGTGGTATCACTCCGGTGGAGCCGTATCACTTGAGCCCGAAGCATGGCTCCCACACATGCTTTGGGTAATATACAAAAATCAAATGTTTCATGTAGGCAACAGATGCTTATATCCCAGTTATCTGAGTGTTTTTGCTTTCTTCTATAGAATTTAGTTTATGACACAAAAACAGAAATACAGATTATACCCTTTTATTCATTGTTTTAGTGTTAATAATGTATTTTTTGCAGGATTTATACATTTAACACAGATCCTCCAGAAGAACTGGTTGTCACAAACAAGTCTCCTCTACAAGAACCTAAACCAATTAAACCACAAAAAAATAAAATAACCATCTTGAAGAAAGAAGTACCAGAAAAAATTATGCCACCCGAAAATGTAAATGAAGAAGATTTACTGGCTAAGGACAAGGGTCCACTGAGGTTAGAGGCCAAGGTTCTGAATTACCAATCTCCTTCACATATTTATATTTCCTTAGTTCATCAACAAAAAACCTTCAATGAACTCTTTGAAAAAATGCAAAAATATTACTCGAAAAATAATAAAAACAAACCAAAAGAAGACTGGAAAGTTGGTGATAGGTGCAGCACATTATGCCAACAATCACAAACTTGGCGCCGAGCTATTATTATGGAACTTAACGGTAATGATGCTAAGTTATTCTACAGCGATTTTGCCTGCATTGAAACAGTACCAATATCCAGTTTAAAAGAATTGACACCAGAATTTTCAAAGATTGGTGATGCGGCTATAAAATGCCACTTGTGTGGCATCATGCCAGCAGTAGGTGACGAGTGGCCTTTAATTACCAAGGAATATTTAAAAGAACTTCTCGATGCATACAAGAGAATATTTGTAACGAAAATGGGCACCTTTAAAGATAAAAGTATGCCAATTCAACTGTGGGTTTATCATACTGTGCAAGGAGGTGCCTTAGAACCGAATAAATCTACCTGGCGTTGTTTGAATGAGAAAATACTTGAACAAGGTCTCTGCGTACCTGATCAATCTCAAGTCGTAAGTAATAAATATACCTAAATAAATGTTTATTATGTTATGTATTAAATTAACATAATTCGATAAAGTCATAGTAGCTTTCAGCTGAATTGCTAACATGTTATATGGTGAGATCCTTATATGAAAACGTAATTAATGAATTAAATATGTTTACCATTTATCCATTTATGTATGGTGACCTTGTGTTTCTCTTCATTTAATGTTGGAAGACATTGGTTTTGATCACGATTTTTTTTTCTTATCCAGGTTCCAACTGATAACAATGCCGAAAATTCGGAAGATATGTTATCATTTCTGAATATCACTGGCTCCGTGAATGAGTGGCTACTATTAGAACCAATGCCTATGGTACCACTGAAGAAGGAAAAACTTGATATTGGTTCCAATACAAATTCACCCTCGCCATCTCAAGAGAGTGAAGATATCAAATACATTGCTAAAGAAGACCCCAGTCCATCCAATGTAATGTATATTACTGACTGGTTGCCACCGGAACCCCTCAATAGCAGGGAATTTACTGCATTACCGACGTAAGTATCGAAAATATTGAAAGAATGCTACTATTGCTCTTTGAAAAATATTAATCTTGTTCTGCAATTTTACACATCAAGTAATATTCATAGCTTTGTTGATTAAAAGAAAATTGGACAAAGCTCAATAGTACTTAGACTCAAACTTTGTATATATGTAGATAGTTTTGACAGCCATAAAATATATATTTACATATATATTTCTAATTTACAGGTACATAGACAACGATGGTATTATTTACTTACATGACATATGTCAACAAGATACACTGGATCTTATTCGTAAAGCATTAGATGTCCGTTTTAAAGACCCTGACCCAAAAGCAAAGTTTACAAAATGGACTGTAGGGGAACCGTGCGTAGCATTATTCTTTTTAGATAATCGCTATTATAGAGGACGTGTGATTGAAGTAAATGATGAAAATTCCACATGTGTCATTCATTACATAGATTATGGTAATGAAGAGACATGCTCCTTTGCCAATTTAAGAAAAAGTGTTCCACTCCACCAAATTCCAACCCAAGCCCACAAGTGTATGTTAAATCGAATACGTCCTGTAGGTAAACATTGGGACAGACAAACATTAGACTACATTCACAAATCAATTGTTGAAAAAAAATGCTTTGTGAAAGTGGTAGGTGATGCAGTCGATGGAATAATACCTGTAGAGCTGAAGTATGACAAATTGTGGATAAATGACCACTTAGTAGATTTTGAAATGGCTGAATACACAGATGGTACTAAAGCACCAGTAATGAAATATTGTCCAGTTGAAAAGAACAAAGAAATAATCCAAGAAAATACTTATGAATGTGATTCCGGACCAGACTATATTGTAGTGGATGATCCAAATACTACCACTGATCAGTTATCTTCATGTCAAGATTCCTTTGAATTAAGCTCTTTGAAGGCTACAGACTGGAATAAATTAATAGAAGATGAACAATCTGCAACTGATGAAAAGTTTCTTACATACCCAAAGCATTCTGATGACGAATACAAGTGTAATATCACAGTAATTAATGACGTTAACACATTAGAACTTAATATTGTTTGGGATGAAGATACATCTAGGCTTTACGAACAGATGTTTGAAGAACTCCAGTCTGAAAGTATGAATATGTCGCCTCTGAATGGAATATTTGAAAATAAAGCATGTATTGCAGTATTTCCAGAAGACGGTCAATGGTACCGCGCATCAATTTTACAATTTAGCGAAAGAAAAAGTCGCGTTAAAGTAAGGTATGTTGATTATGGCAACATTGAGGTTATTTCCTTAGCTGATACAAGAGAGATCTGTGAAGAATGGGCAAAACTTCCTCCGGCAACTATATCTGCCAAACTGTTTGGCGTGCGCTTAAATCCCGATACAGATATCAATGTTATTACAAAATATTACTCTCAAGTTTTCTTGGATAAAGGTCCATTCCAAGTAAATATCATGGGTTATGAAGGTCAAGTGCCATTGGTAGAATTAAGATATGAAAATAGTGATTTGGTATACAAAAACCTTATCGAAGATAATATATTCATTAAATGTGATTAATCGTAACTCGATTTTAATTGTCTTTTTGTTACTTTTTACATAAAAAATGCAGGTTACATATGTTACATGCAAGACCATAACTAAAACCTGCATATTTTTATTATATTTTAAGTTTTAAACTAGCTTTTGTAGCCCTACCATGAAGTGTTAAAGCGCGAATCTTTCGGGCGAGAAAGAGGGATGGAGCTATACGCCTTTTATAGCTCCATCCCTCTTTATAACCTAAACACGTCATGGAGGGCCCTCTGGTTCCTATAGTCATGTGAAGTACCCATTAGGTATATCTTTCTTATCATTGTCGAGGGGAAAGACAATTTGGTAATATTGTTACAAATTTGAACTATCTCTATGGTCTGGTCATGACATTCTTATATTATTAATACTCGTGTTACTAGCTAAGTAAACTTTAATTAAAGCTCACTTACAAATGAGCTCTTACTTGTAGGTGTGATTTCTGACTACATACGTCGCTATTTGATCGAAGTTATTTTCAATATATGAGAAATGTTAATCTCATTTACTTTTTTTGTTATTTGTTAAGTTAGTGTACTGATTATGTACTTTGATTTATACTAAATAAATCTTGAAATTTAAAATTGTTTATTTTTTATTCTAGCCTTATTTCTTTTTCTTTTATTTGTAGTGCCATAATCATCAAGTTATTTCGTCCCGCTTTGAGTGGGGCGAAAGGAACTGTCAGAAGAACCACTTCCTTTTTCTGTTCCTAGCAATCTCGGCTGATCACCGGTTCAAGTAGGCCCGGCTTTGTGGTGGTCTAGGCTCTTAAAGGCGGCGGCGTCGACAAGGAGCGTGATGCGCCGTACCATAGGATTGTACACTATAACTGCGCCGTACGCTTGGGCCTGGTTCCGGTCGAGCGGCAAGCTACCCTTACTCGTGGCTGCATCTGCGTGCTCTGTGCTAAAGTCCAACATCAGGCAATTCAAATTTGAAATCGCCAAATAGTAATTTACTCAGATCATTACTAGTGTAGAGTATCTTTGAAAGAATATCATAAGTTTCCTAAAGTGGTAGTCCCGACGTGACTAAAAACAAACTTATCGTCAGCTTACGCTACATTTAATGTTGATAAAAAGAAGCCCATGTCCTATTCCGGAGTGTATCCTATGCTTGTGATAAATTTCATCCAGATCCTTCCAGCCGTTTTGGCGTGACAGGACAACCTGTTTTTAAATCTTTGTGCCAAATTACCTAGGTATATTCTGTTGCTTTGATAATGAAACTCGAACGGGTTGGCTCCATGGAGGAATTTATCGTATTTATGCGGTCGGCTCGATCGGGGAAGTACCTTCCACTCGGTCACAATCATAGACATATACTTTCGTCTCAATGGACACAAGTCACAACTCACAAATGTGAAGTAATGACCATGTCGTCTAGTAAATGGGAGCCTCTCTTAACAGCCCCTTAACTTTCGAGTAGCTTTCTTTGAAAGCAATCCCGTTTTCTACATGGTATTAAATATTACTTGTTTTTTTTTATGTGATATGTCGGCAAACGAGCACTTGCATTAACTGACGATAAGCAATCAGCGCCGCCCATGGACACCCGCAACGACAGGGAACGAGGAGGGGGGGGAGGGGGAAGGATTGGGCCTCCGGCAACCTCACTCACACGGCGAAACGCTGTAGTTGTTTCACGTCTGTTTTCTGTGAGGCCCTGGTATCACTCCGGTCGAGCCGAAGCAGCACTCAAAGTGAGTTAGAGTTACTTACTTAGGTCTTAAGACCAAGACTTTGGTCACGGCGTTTTGACGGTTGTACGTGGGAATCGTGCGGTACATGGCCCTGTATGGGGCCTGATTCTGCGCAAACCGCAGTGGGCGATGACCGTCAGAGTCGTCCGCGGGTATCGCACGATTTCCTACGAGGCGGCTTGCGTCCAGGTTGGCCGGATCCCCGCCCTGGGACCTAGAGGCGAAAGTACTCGCATCACTACATCGATGGCGAGAGGAAGAGCACGCTCAAATCAAATCAAAATCATTTATTCCAACTAAACCATAAATAGGCTAAACCATACTTTTGAAACGTCAAAATAGAATAGTAGTCTGTCAGTCTGTTCGTCAGTGAAGCTACATAGGTGCTCATTCTAAATTGTAGTTTCGAATGGAGATGAACGAGAAAGGAACTCCATCGTTACTCTTTTTAAAAAATATTATTTGTTTTACAATTCACTAATAATAATTTTTTTATACATTATATTAACAGTTCCTTTTTATTAAAAAGGAACAAATGATGGTATCTATCATTAAAATAATCTTTTGTCGTCTCGAACATGGCGTACCCGAGAGTTTACATAGAAGCATTCTTTTGGATTGTTCCAAAAGAATGCTTCTATAAAGTAGGAACAGGAGTTGATTTTAGTCAGTAACGGTCTGTCCCGAAAAAGGCCGGAGATGACATTAGATGATTTCCCATAAAAAAATACCGTTAATCAGCTGGCTAATCCCTAAAACTATACCTACGTAGAACTTTTACTCAAATTGTATCGATACTCGTTAAATACTTAGTCGGCACAACCCTAGCAACGACAGCCATCTTATGCGACATTTTGGATTGTAGGTAGGCACCTTTTTTTCGTAGGTATTTCAAGTCCATATATTTCCTATGTCAATGTTGTCAATCCACAGCTGACAACTTCACACAAAGTAAATGTCATTTTGTTGTCCTTGTCAATTGTCATTGATTTGTAAACTTTCTCGGTTGTGGGTGCAATTTTGATTGTTTGTGAATGTTATTATCAAAAATACGGAATTTGTTGTTTTGGTTTCGTTATTTGTTCTAACTGATTATTTATAAACTGATGTCTTTAATGAAAAAGACTAGAAATGATGCTATTAAAGCTGCGGTCACTTCCTACTTAGAACGTCGGAATTATCCCGTGAGTGCTAAAGCTTAAGAAATTTTGCTTTTGAGTAAATAACGGCTTTTATAGTAATTTTTATGTTTTAGGACATAGACGTATTTAGCAATAACAATAATCTAAGCAGAAGTGCTGAACAAATGGCTGTGGCAACGATAGTTCAGTGTGAAGCAAGTCGCGCCAATTCTATCTTATTTTCTTGTATCAACAATGATTCCGGCCAATACGACTCACAATATACTAGGTGGTATCAATATCAATTGTTTTACAAGGTGCCCGTGTGTGTCTATCACTTACATTATAATTTTTATGTTATGTTTGTAGATTGGTCAATTTTATAAAAGAAATAAAGCAAGAAAAGGTGAAGAATGAGTTACTTGGTTTATTATGTCCATTACTTTGTCATTTGTACCTTGAAATGCTCAGAGGAGGTCATGGAGGACCTGCACAGATGTTTCTAAAGAGACATTCGGCTACATTACCTCAAAAGGATCTATCCTACCACCAACCTATCGATGGAAATCTACCATCAGCCTTGTACAGACCTAACAGCCTGGAGCAGCTATTTAATTCCTTACAAAATGGTACTATTGACAATGAGACTCCAGAAAAAGACTACATGAATCAAATATTAGATGATATTGGATCAATTTATACATTGCAAGAAGTTGAAACAAGACCATCTATTGCTGCTTTCAGGTACATACTTGGGCTTGAAGTGAAACTGCAAGCATACATCCACATTTGTCATTACAAATCTTGAAAAGACAGATCTAATTCTTATTTTAAATTTCAGATCATGCAAATATGACATTAGTCTCTCTCAAGATGCTTTAAATATGTTAAAAGCATATCTAGACAAACATGGCCATGTGCTTCTAATTCAAGTTCTTCAGACATGGTTTCACATTGATATCAACAATGATCCTAATAAAAAGAATGCAGTTTGTATTATTTTTACTTTTACTTATTACCAGTAACTACTAATAGATTCCTTCTGATCTGACAAGCAGGAGAACAAAATGATGTTATATTAAAAGTTTTATTTAGAACCCTTTACTTATACTATAAATACTAATTGCATGACATCATAATATACATTTTATTTTATGAAAGTTTACATATGTAATCAAATTAAGATAACAAACAGTGAATTTCAAAAAAAACCTAAGATTGTAAATTGTTATAGGAGGATGATGAAGAAGAGATGGATGAAGAAATTAATATCATGAGGAATAATCACTCGGAAGAAAAAAATATGGAGACTAATGGTAAATCTATTAAAGTAATTTACTTGTAAATTTATTTTCTGAAACTTTCATATTGTAACTAAATTCATCAAACCTCAAGCAAATGTTAATAACATAAACTATTTATTTTTTACTAGACATATTTTCTGAATGCAATGGTCATGCAGAATATTTAAGTATTGACAAGGAGTTAATGGAACTTCAAGAAGCAATTAAAGGGGTCAGAGAATCCACAGCTCCTCTAAAATTGTACAAAATAGCTGCTCCTGATACAAAGTAAGTGTAATTCAATAGTGAAAAGAAAATATTTACATTTAAAACAGTCACTAAATATTGATAAATCTGCTTACAGTTTAATATGCGCCAAAACTGACCAATACTGCAATATATTATGTGGAGGCTTCACTAATTCAGAAATAAGGTTATGGGACCTTGGGCAAAACAATATAAATAGAAGAGTAAATCGGAATATCTCTGAAGTTGAGTTAGCTTGCAATGTGCCTCATGAACTAGTTCCTGACTCGAATACATTGTAAGTGTGGTAAATGGTATTTCAATGAACTTTCTTATTTTTCCTTTCAAAATTATTTATCTTAACTTACACCTCTGTTTTCAGACAAATAGGTGTTGGAATACCTTTAAGAGGACATTCTGGACCAGTGCAGGCTGTTACAGTACTCCCACAAGAAGACTTAGTTGTGTCTGCTTCTCATGACAATACTATTAGATCCTGGAGGCTTACTGATTATTCCTGTGCAGCAATTTATAGGTTGATATCATTAACAAATTAATACCAGTTATACATATAGTTTTTTTTGTCTAGTTATTTCGATAATATGGGAGTGTGTAGCCTTAGGCGCGCTATTGAGCAAGGACTTAGGACTAACTTAATCAGAAGCTTCAAAAAAAACGTACCAATCCAAAAAATAATTTCAACAATTTTTTTGTATTCTTTGCTGCTCATGGTGTCCCTAAGGGTATACTCCACCCTCTTTGAGGAGAGGCTTGAGAGGCGCCATGGCGTCCTCACCATCCGCCTGACGCAGGTGCTTACCGGACACGGCTGCTTCGGTAGGTTCCTGTTTCGGATCCGGCGGGGCAATATGCCCGAGTGTCGCCATTGTGAGGCCCACGCAGAGGACATGGTGGAGGTGTGCCCTGCTTGGGCTGAGCGAAGTGATCGGCGGCGGCGATCTCTCGCGTCCGGCCATAGTCGTGGTCACAGTGCAAGTCACCGCGGCCTCAGCCTCAAGCTTGAGAAGGAACGGGGGGTTTTTAGTCAATTAGAGTCTGACTCTCCCTTCGGAGAAGTCATCTGATGATATTCCCCTAATGAAAAAAGCGTACACTCCAACTCCTACACTCCGCCCATAAGACTACCCACTGATCCGAAAATATTTTTTTCAGAGGCCACAATTATCCAATATGGTGCATGGATATATCTAAAAGTGGCCTGTTCGTCACAGGATCTCATGATAGAACTGCCAAGTTATGGTCTCTTGAAAGAACATTTCCAATAAGAATATTTGCTGGTCATATGTCTGATGTCACTGTAAGTATTTGATTTATTTTAACTGTTAAGATTAAAAATACCTGCTTTATATTAATTAATTGTTTATTTTTTAGTGTGTTAAATTCCACCCAAATGAGGCATATCTAGCAACAGGTGGAGCTGATCGTACTGTGCGACTATGGATGGTGTCCGATGCTCGCCTGGTACGAATCTTTCGTGGTCACCGTGATCCAGTGAGAACCCTCGCCTTCTCACCTTCTGGAGCTCATTTAGCTAGTGCTGGTAATTATTTTAGTAGTAAATTCTGATGTAATTTGATAAAGAAATCAAAAAGCCTCGATAAAATAAACATTTAGGTTTTCTAATTAAGTCACTAAAATTATTATTTTCAGGTGATGATAAGAAAATTAGAGTTTGGGATTTAGCTGCATGTACCTGTATTCACGAGTATAGAGGGCACCATGGGAAAGTCACGGCATTAGATTGGTCAGCTGTTGGGAAAGCCAGTTTGACTAACAGGGTCCTCTCAGATCCTAGCGACCCATTAGTGGACAATTCTTTGCTGTGTTCTGCTGGAATGGATGGGATTGTTAAAATCATGTCAGATTGTAATTCTAAAAACAAGTATGTATAATCTGTTATTTGACAAAATATGTACATATATATGTACCTCATATGTTTGATACTATTTAGCCTTATTTTCTTACAATTTCTTTGCAGGCAAGCATCAGGCCTAGAGGTGCAATCCTCCACCTACAACACAAAATGTTCCTACTTGGTTGATGTGCAAGTACATCCAGACTGGGTTGTAGCCATTGGAACTAAGAGATAAAAATACAACTACAATCTCATAAACTGTTTATTCTTTTTTAAAGTATTGATATAAATAAAATATAATTTCAAGTTATGACTTTTAATATGAAACATAATTTTATTGACCAAACATACATTATTCATGAAACACATATTATTCAGATATTTTTAAAATGAAACATGATTTTGTTGGTCAGACCTTCTTGAAAAAACTATTAATAGTGGCTTGTTTCCCTTTTTTAGGTGGTGACAATTTCTTCTTACTTTTAGTTTCTTTGAATGCAGGCTCACTTTTAATTGGTTTCACTGGTTCATTTATTGTTTTTACAGGTTCAATATTGTCTTTCTGTATTTTATTATTTTCTTTAACTTCTTCTTCTTCATTTTCTGAGCAGCTCTCATACACTTCTTCTTTTTTAGTAAGAATATAACCATCTTCATCAGTGTATGTTTTATCTACAATCTTTCTCCGTTTCTTTGGATTTATGATACCTGAGGTTATTTTAACAGTATTTATGGTTGGTGTAGGTGGTATTTCATCCTCAGACTCATGATCAACATCCATATCTTTAGCAAATGGATCATTTGTTTCATTATCACTTTCACTGTCTGAAACATGTAGGAGCCTTTTGCGTTTCTTATCTACTTTAGCATTTTTCTTTATTGTAATACTATTTTTATTATTTGATTTGCCCTTGACATTTTCTGCTGAACCATTAGATATAGTTTTAGGTGGTAAAATTTCTTTGTTAATTGGTTCAACTTTATCTTCTTTTTCCTTCTTAATTTCTGGTTCTGGAACTTTAGCTTTCTTATTTTTGGATGAATCACCATTAACTTTACTGAAAAACCCTGCAATACCTGTTGCTGCAACTTTGTTACCATTTTGTTTAGCTGGAGTTTTCTTAGTTGGCGACTTCTTTTTTGGTGAAGGTTTTTCAGATTTTTCTTGAGGTTCCACCTTAACTTCAACCGTATTTCTTACTTCTTTCTTTACATTGTCTTTAGATAAATGTTGTACATTTGATTTTGGTGCATCCAAAACAGTTTGCTTAGTGGATTTTAAACTTCCAATTTCATCTTCAGTTCTTTTAGAGCAAGAGTTAGCTTTAATTAACCCTGTACATAGGGCGAGGTCCTCAAATTTGCTAATTGCACTTAAAGTACCATTTTCTATTGGTTTAGGTCCCCGGTTAACACAATACACATGCTCGTAAAAAACAGTTTTCAAAGATTTTCTTAAGCTGTCTAATTCCGTTTCTGGACAAACCGTAACACAGCCATTGTTATTATTTAGCAATCCCGATATCATATGTGAAACACTAAGATTCAATTCTGGATTTGTCTTTCTGATATCCTGTATGACTTCTCGTAGTAATGTTTTTGCTTCATTCACATGAATACACAGCTCCTTGCTAAGTGAAATATACGTCACTAGCTTATGCTCGTCTAATATTTGTTCTCTCACCGTACTTATGTTTATTTTATTAACGCCCATTTTGATCAAGAACTCAGGATGTCCGTTATTAACGAAATTACTAACAATAAATATGTTATACCCAATGGTCTAAGTGCAAAACGTTCCGACAATAATTTGCCGCACTTTTTGACTTATATGCTGAATCTGACATTGGCATTCACTTTAGCTGACATTTGACTGACGTTTTGTAGGTCTTTGCGTTTTGTATACAGCTTTAATAAAGATCTTATTTCACTTTGGTTTTTTTTTACACCGATTACAGTGTCATTTCCTACCTCGACGTTGGCAAAATCTTCGAATACTTACGAAGGAGCCATAAAAAAAAGAAGAAGAAGAAGATCTTATTCCTCCATGGTATTTAGTCACTGACCTCTTTTGGCAATGCAAAGATTACCCGCACGCCTAGCCGGCCGCCGTCTAGCGGCGAAATTTAGAAACTGTCTAAGAATGACACTGTTTGTTTATTTATTGAAGTTATCTTAGATTATTCAGATGGATCACGATTTTAAATGGAAACCTGTTGCAAATAAAAGCAGAAATACGAAATATTGTTGCGTTCCTCAATGTAGTACTTACGGAGATACGGGAATAAGTTTTCATTTATTCCCAAAAGACAAAATTATGAAGAAAAAATGGAAGACAGATATAAGAATATGCAAGCCAATTTCAAACTAAATGAATAACTAGTAGAAAAAAAGTTTAATGCTTGAAAATGATGAGAACAAACTCTCATTGATGGTGAAATTGACTTGCCAATTCTTAAAGTAGTCTCCCATTTTTTTTTTAATGAAAGCTTATCCCTTGTCTCCGTAAAGCCGGGTTTTCACAGTAAGAGTTGGCTCGGACCAAGTGCACTCGGATGCTACTCTTATCATGTAAACACGTAATTCTAGCGCACTCGGACGCCAACGACGTCTAATTCGAGTAGACTCGGACTCTGCTCTATTTTTCGAGCTCACTCGGATCATTTGAATGTACTCTGTAAATCATTTTAATGTAAACAATATGGCGACAATAAACCACTATCCGTGTACACTCGTAAGAAGCTGACTCGTACGAGTGCATTCGATCCGAGCCAACTCTTACTGTAAAAAACCCAGCTTTAGTACTACATTGAGGAACGCAACAATATATTTAGTTTTTCTGCTTTTATTAGCAACAGGTTTCTGTATACAATCGTGATCCATGTGAATAATCTAACATAACTTCAACAAATAAACGAACGAAGTGTCGTTATAAGACTGTTTCTCCGCTAGAGACATGCGGATAATCTTTGCATCGCCCGTCGCCAGTAGGTACCTACCTAGTCGACTCGAATCATTGACATAGGAAATATATGGACTTGAAATACCTACGAAAAAAAGGTGCCTACCTACAATCCAAAATGTCGCATAAGATGGCTACCGTTGCTAGGGTTGTGCCGACTAAGTATTTAACGAGTATCGATACAATTTGAGTAAAAGTTCTACGTAGGTATAGTTTTAGGGATTAGCCAGCTGATTAACGGTATTTTTTATGGGAAATCATCTAATGTCATCTCCGGCCTTTTTCGGGACAGACCGTTACTGACTAAAATTAACTCCTGTTCCTACTTTGCCGTCGGCCTAGCTAGAGCCCGGAACCCGGGGTTAACTTGGTCTCTTGATTGGCTAATGATTTTCTCAAGTCGAATTTGTATTCATATAATTCTACGTAAAGCGTCTTTTAAAAAAATAGGACTGTGTTTATGAACAGCGTTTAATGGAATGGTGAAATAGAAAAAGATAGTGTTTGTTAAATGTTTATCTTTATATATGTGGAAAACCTGTGGGTATTTGTGAAGTGCTCGCGCACATTTTCGGCGCGTCTGAATAAGCGATGATATCTTCGAAACTACGTTAGCACAAAATAGATATGTAGTGAAGTCAATCTTATTGTATGTATCTCACTTTTTATTATTGGTGGTCGCACTGGGATCGTCGCCAACGCCGCTCTGTCAATCGCGCCCGTATAATTATAATACATGATAATTTGAACTTCTACTTATGTAACTAAAACCAATACCAAAATACTGACGTCTTACTTTAGCGTTACATAAAACTGTGGAAACATCTATTCTATTGTTAAAATAGATTATTTAGTATAATATATGTTGAATTTTAAATGGGAGATTATATCGATACTTTTGTGAAATGGTACGTAACTATGCCATATTGACATATTATTGTAAACAACAATTTTTTACTAAAACTGTCTCACAGACAGAAATAAAAGTAAATATATATACTTTGGCAATAGATTAAAGTATCCGTGACATTTTTTTCTATCTATGTGGATTATTCTAAGTAATATTTGATGAAAACTGTTTACTAACCTATACAAAGACAATTGAGGTTGATTTTCGTTCTTTTTTGAACCACACTGCACAATACAACACACAGGCATATTGTTTTATTGTTTCACTATATATATTTGAAGTTTAAAAAAATGGTTCTTTGTAATTTACTGAAAAACCGCAATAATTTAAAACATAAACAACCGTTTGACATCACAACTACCATGAAACTCAGGTACTCTGAGCGCTTAAGATGGCGGACATGGCACTTACCTACAACTTTGCTAATGTCAAAATGATTTGTTTCCATATTAAGCAACAACTTAAATATTGTTGTCCCTTTTGTCTAATACAATTATTGCCTTAGAAAGAGTGAGAAAAAATGATATTTCATAGTTTGTTTCATATTTCCCTCATATTTGTATAAGCATGTATACTTCTATAGTAACACGGCGCCTCTATATATTTTCTATCTCAATGACTCGAATTACCAATATTGACATCGCAAGTCACTTATCTGTCAATGTCAATGCAAGAGGTAGTTTTGACGTTTTTGTTTCTGTTTCTGTCTAACTTGCTAACAGAGTTGACTCATTGACGAACTTAAACAAAAAAGTTAAATAATTTATAAGTGACTTGATAATCAAATAATTCTATCGGAGTAATGTTTTAATCTTGCAGTGATATATACGACTAAGTGTAGTTAAAAACGTGAGTATTTTTATCAAACATACTACACTACTATTTTGGACATAAATAGTTACATCATTTCTATTTGTATCAACTTCCGGACGGATTCTCCACGAAATCTGTTATTCAGAGGTGTTCTGGTGTTTAGGTTTATTGATAAATATAATTCTTCTTTTTGACAGAACTAAGTTGAAGAGCACGTAGTATATTTAATAAGCAATTGAAAGCGAAAATGCCTGGGTAAGCTACATCTGTGATGTTAGTCAGCCGTGGGAGGGAGTGGTTAACATAACTCGTATCGAATGCTCTTAACAAGCACTTTTGCATTAATTTTATAATAATATCACAGACATTTCTAAACAAATAATCATAGCACAGATCAAAAAAATCTAAAATAGTCATGTGAATAATGATTGACCTAGATCTCAAATTAAAAGCTTGATTACTAATATAATGTTAGTTTTCTCAGGTAAATGTTCAAGGTATGTAATCTAAAATGATTTTAGTTAGTGAGCAATATGACCTTCAGCTTTCAATGGGAATATGATAGTGAATAAATTGATTACATTTTCATCATAGAAATAACTAAAATCTCTGATATTCAGAACTGTAAGCTTACATTATTATTTTATATACACTTAACCAACTTAGATTTTAATAAAATTTCCTGTTCAGCTCATCAGGAAAATAAAAGCCATTAATAATATTAACAAAGTATAATAATCACATCTCAGTGTGTAAGTATATAATAATAATAATAATATTTAGATGTCATTATTGTACTTACCTGAAAAAAAATGTTTTTTGGAGCTAAATTAAATTATAGTCATGATCCAATAGGATGTGTTGTTGATACAACTCAACATTTATGGTCATGCAAAATAAACCTGCATAGAAAATTTCAGCTAAATCTGTTGAAGATATCTGACCTATAAGAATCCATTACACAACATACATACATACATTGCAAGTAAAATAAAAGCTTGAAAAATGTATAGTTAAGTTATATGAAAAGTTTCCTTTTAATTAACTCCAAAAATTTTACAGATTAGCAACAATGTCTTTGGACAATATGTTCTGTACCCGCTGTGGGGATGGCTTTGAGCCCAATGAAAAGATTGTCAACTCTAATGGAGAACTTTGGCATACCAATTGTTTTGTGTAAGTTCATAATTATATTATTGTTGTATGCTTTTATGTTTATGTTTGTATTTAAAAAGTTAAGATATTTTTATTATAATAAAAATATGATAAATAGTAATATAATAAAAAATAAAAATATTTTACAGGTGTGCACAATGCTTCCGTGTCTTCCCTGAAGGCATATTCTATGAGTTTGAAGGACGTAAATATTGTGAACGTGACTTCCAAGTGTTGTTTGCTCCGTGCTGTGGAAAATGTGGTATGTATCTAATTAGGTAAAAGGACATTTTAACCATATCTGTCCTAAATGAGGTGAACAAAACCTGTTATTTATCCATTGAACTTTCTTTTCAGGGGAATTTGTGATTGGCCGTGTGATTAAAGCAATGAATGCCAATTGGCACCCTGCATGCTTCCGTTGTGAGGAATGTAATGTGGAGCTAGCTGATGCAGGTTTCATTAAAAACGGTGGGCGTGCCCTCTGCCATACTTGCAATGCCCGTATCAAGGCTGATGGACTGTTGAACTACATGTGTCATAAATGCCAGTAAGTAATTCTAGTTTTATCCTCTTTATTCTTTAGTGAATATTTTTCCTGTTGCTAGAAGACAAGGAAAATAAATAATTAACTGACATTAAGGGTAAGCTAAGTCACTAAGTCAATTCTATAGTGGACTAAATTGTGGCAAGGTTTTGACTATTCACACTAATGTAAAACATACTATTATTATTGTTGTAAGAAACAGCGAGATAAATATTTTAATTTTACGCACAGTGGAGTTATCGATGGCGAACCGTTACGCTACCGTGGTGAGGTGTATCATGGCTACCACTTCACATGTGCCACTTGTGGTGTGGAGCTGGATCATACAGCCAGAGAAGTCAAACATCGCCCTGGATATGCTGCCAACGATGTGGTAATTATAAATTATATTTATTATAAACGTAAGTAAGGAACTATGAAGGAGAAAAAATAATATTTCAAGATTATTTAAAATATCGATTTGTTCTATAATATTTTGTTTAATTTTCAGAATAATCTCTTCTGTCTCCGTTGCCACGATAAGATGGGTATTCCCATTTGCGGAGCTTGCAGACGTCCTATCGAAGAGAGAATTGTGACAGCCCTTGGAAAGCATTGGCATGTTGAGGTAGTTATGTATAATTATTGTAATCTTTAATACATGACATCATTAATTACCTATGTAATAAAAATTGTCTTCCCAAATAATATTAAAATTCACCTATGTATGTGTTCCTTGTTTTAGCACTTCGTATGCGCCAAATGTGAGAAGCCATTCCATGGTCATCGCCATTACGAGAAGAAGGGCCTTGCCTACTGCGAGCAGCATTACCATCAGCTGTTTGGGAACTTGTGCTACGTGTGCAACCAAGTTATTGCTGGTGATGGTAAGTACTATTTATTCCAGATTCGCAGTTAAGTTATACATTGAGTAGTTTATGAACAATGCTACTTTATTTTTTTCCTCTTCAACAGTGTTCACGGCATTGAACAAAGCTTGGTGTGTGCATCATTTCGCGTGCTCCGTATGTGATGCACCTCTGAGCACCCGAAGCAAATTTTACGAATATGACGAACGCCCTGCTTGCCGGCGCTGTTACGAGAAGTTCCCGGCCGAATTGCGCCGTAGATTGCGTCGTGCACACCATTACACTATCCGACGTTAAAATATTGGTTTCCGAAACATAAAAAACCTACAATCTCCATAAACTATGCTTTAATTTCAATATTTTGTTAGCTGTTGACATTATCTAAGGTCAGAGAGACAAGTACAACATTCATTCCGATATTTATGGAAAACCAAGATTTCATTGAAGGACCATTTGGCCCACTAACAAATTAACTTTTTTGTGTAACCAATCGTTTTTGATGTCGTTAACTTTTATGTAATTTGCGTGTTGTATTAAGAACATGTTTACTGAGGAGGATACAAGTCAGTAAGGTGACTGATACTAATTAAACATTATTATTAATTTGCCTCATAAATTAATGTGCCTTATAATGTTAATTTTGTGCCTAGAGAGTAAGAAAAGGAAATTGTATTTAATAATAATATTAAACGAGTAGATCTTATGTTTACTGAACTTTATTTTATAAAGATTTTTATAGATGGATTTGTAAGTAAAAGTATAGTAGTAAATCCTTTTATGGGATTGCGACTATTGATAGGATTAACAATTTAAGCATAGTATTAAATGAATGAAATATTTAAAATGCTAAAAAAATATTTTAACTATACTTACTTATATATTTTTTTCATACTAATGATTTAATACAAATATAATAATTAGTAACAAAAAACGCGTTTTTTTCTATCAACTCTAATTTCAAACACTTCCTACCGAATAGAGTGGTCACGCGCAAAGCGCCCACAATTAATTATTTTAAAAACAGACTGGACAAAATCTCCAAAACCGTTAATAGGGTCGCATTAGCTTTCTAAGCTGCTAGTGTATAATATATTAAGCGAGAAGCTATATGTCGCTTGCTAACTAATCCACAGCTGGATTACGGTCATTATCGACAACACTGGCAGAAGAGAAGAATCAGTCATCCAGTTTGACTGAAATTGCGACATTTAAATAGGACAAGTAGTTTATCTATTAGTATCTACATATCTACGGTGACACGCCAACATCTATTCAACCCTTTTTTGTATCCATTCACCCTCAAATTCTATTCGCCCCGTTTTACAGTACCTTACTAGTTGCGCAAACCTTACAACCTCATAACAAATATGTCTGTCTAGCCAAATAGGTGTGTCAATATGGTAAAGCAACATAATTGTTGGAAACCAAATCACTTCTCGTCGTGTCCAATAATACTTGGGTACTTACATGTTAACCTGTCAACAATAATGGTTTTTTTTTTTTTTTGTGAGGGGAAAATCGTCAAATGACTTCTCCCGCCCAGGGCCGGGCAGGAGGGAGTGTCAGACTCTTACTGACTAAAAACCCCCCTGTTCCTTCTCCTGCTCTGTGCCGAGGTCGCGGTACCTCATTGCGCTTACCCCGCAACCCCGGCTGAACATCAGCCCTTTAGGGCCCCGTCTGTGGTGGTCTATTGGCTCTTTGAGGCGCGCGCGGAACGCTACGCGCCGTACGCTCGGGCCTGGTTCTGGTCGGGCGGCGAGCTGCCCTTACTCGCCGACCGCAGGCCCGTACTTACGGTGACCGGAGATCGTCCCTCGATACCCGACGCCCGTAGTGTCGCCAGTTGCGGCTGCTGGGGCGTGAGGAGGAGGATTGCTCCCTCACGCGGGCCGCCTCTCTCTTTGCGAGCATGACTGCTTCACAAAAGGAGGAGACGGCGTCCCAGTTCCTCTCACTCCGCACCATGGCCTCGACTAAGGCCGGGCGCGAGAGGTCGCCGCCGCCGATCACTTCCCTGAGGATACGGCGGTGCTCAGCCCAGGCAGGGCATACCGCTACCGTATGCTCCACCGTATCCTCTAGGTGGTCCTCACAATGACGACACTCGGGCGTTTCCTCCCGCTGAATCCGAAACAGGAACCTACCGAAGCTGCCGTGCCCGGTAAGCACCTGCGTCAGACGGAAGGTGAGGACGCCGTGGCGTCTCTCAAGCCACTCCTCAAAGAGGGGTCTTACCGCTGCTATGGTAGCGTGCCCGGCCCTCGGTTGCGACAGTCGTTGTTTCCACTCTGCCATGAGATCTCGCCGGAGCTCATTAGCATTATTATTTCATAGCTGATGCGACCTCCCTTTCGCCAGCACCAGCGTGTCGTCAGCATAACAGACAATGCTGACGCCGCTCGGGAGGTCGGTGCGTAGCACCCAATCGTACCCGATGTTCCACAGGAGAGGTCCCAGGACCGATCCCTGTGGGACACCGCGCGACACCTCTCGCCGATTCGAGTGACCGGGGTAGATGACGCATCTGTCCGTCAAGTAAGCCTCGACTACACGACGGAGATAGGCAGGCACCCGGTGATACCGGAGTGCCTCCAAAATGCAGCTCCAGGGCAACGAGTTGAAGGCGTTGGCGATGTCCAGAGACACCGCCACGACGACTCGCCTCCCGGCCAACGCTGTCCCCGTCGTGAGGTCCCTCACGCGCATGATGGCGTCCACCGTGGAGCGCCCCCTGCGGAAGCCGAACTGGCCGTCCGCTAAATCCGGCCCCCTTCCAGACAGGTGCCCGACCAGGCGGTCTGAGATTATCCTCTCGAACAGCTTTCCCACCTCGTCGAGCAGCACAATGGGCCGGTACGCGGACGGAGAGTCCGCAGGACGCCCCGGCTTCTTCACGAGGACCAGTTTACCCGGCTTCCACGACAGCGGAAACTGGCCTCTCTCCAAACATGCGCTGAACAGACCAAGTAGTCGAGGCCTGAGAGCCTCCGAGGCCAGGACCCAAACCTTGGCATGCAGCCCGTCAGGTCCTGGGGCGGTATTCTTGCCGCTCAGCCGGCGCACCGCCACTCTCAAATCTACCTCGGTCACTTCCGGAGCGGATTCATCGTCGTCGTCGTTGTAGCCCGCATTGGGCACCGCAGGGGGCGGGGGCATAGCCGGAGGCGTGTAACCCATCTGTGGAATAGCGCCCCAACCACTTCGTCCACGACCTCCGGCCGGAGACTCTGAGTCAGTGGGGGCGCCCAGGTGCGGAGCTTATCACGCACCATCCGGTAGGGGCGTCCCCACGGGTCTCTGTTCAGAGTCTCCAACATCTCCTCGCGGGCCCGATCTTTGGCCCGCCGGATCTCCACCCTGAGGGTGGCCTTCGCCGCCCTGTACTCCTCGTATAGCTCTGCCTCTCTGGCTTCAGCGTCCAGAGGGCGGAGACGGAGCCTGCGGTGCCTGGTGTATCGGCGTCGCGCTGCGGTGCACTCACCGCGCAGGTCTGCCAATTCCTGCGACCACCAATACACCTGGCGCTTGCGTTGGCACGGCCGGATCCGGGGCATCGCCACGTCGCACATCCTTGACATGGCGTCCTGGAGCCATCTCGCCTCCTCGTTTATGTCGGCGGGCCTGACCGGTGGTATCACCCAGGCCTGCACGACTGCGGCTTCCAGGAAGAGCTCCCGGTCCAGTTGCCTAAGCGCCCAGCGCGGGCCACACGGGGCCTGTCTGACTGGCGGGTCTGCGGACTCGGCGGAAACGTCAAACCGTATATACCGGTGGTCCGAAAACGTCTCCACCTCCTCCATGACGCGCCAGTCAACGACACGTGATGACAGAGCGGGGCTAGCGAACGAAATGTCCACAACTGACTCGCCCCGCATCCGTACGCACGTGGGGACAGAACCCCGGTTCAGCACGACTAGGCCTGTCTCCAGAGCCCAGTCTTCGACCATCCTTCCCCGGACATCAGTGAGCCGGGAACCCCAAGCCAAATTCTTGGCATTGAAGTCCCCGAGGACCAGCATGGGGAGGGGACGGAACCCGACGACGACGGTGACTAATTCCCTGAGGGAGTTGTGGAACTCGACGAGAGTTCGGTTCGGAGAGAAGTACACGCCCACCACAGCGATCTCTCCGAACCGAGCCGCGACGCAACCCCTGCCTCGCTGAGGCCCTTCGGGGGTTGGGGTACCGGCGGCGGCCGACGAGATGATGGTCACCGAGCCGTCCAGGTCTGACACCCAGTGTTCCCTGGGTGGAACGAAGTACGGCTCGGAGACCACAGCAACATTGATCGACCACTGCGCCATGCTCTGGAGCAGGAGATCCTGAGCAGCGACGCAGTGGTTGATGTTTGCCTGGAGGAGGCGTAATGGAGCCATTATTGGGTATCCATCACGACCTCCTCTCTGACGGCAGCGGCGACAGCAGCAGTCGCAGTAGTATTTGCGACTGCGGCGGCAGCGGGAGCGACGGTGGGAGCGGTGGAGGTGGCTAAGGGCCTACCTTTGCTCCTGGGCTTTTTGGGGGGGGAGCAGGTTTTGCCCCCAGCCCGGTGATCGGCCGGCTTGCCAGCCGCCGCACATACTACGCGGTGCGGTGGGGCGGTACAAGCGCCTGTGACCGGGCTGACCGCAGCGGAAGCAGCGGTCGCTGCGGTCCACCTCTGAGGTGCACTTGGCACCCACGTGGTGACCCACGAGGCAGCGGAAACACCTCAAAGGTCGGGGTTCCAGGAGCTTCACCTGCGCTGAAACCCAGCCCACCAGGAGCCTTTTGCCCTCTGCCAGCTTTTTGGCCGCTGTGACGGGGCAGCTGACTACCACAGTCCGCAGCCCCGTATTGTCCGGGCGGATAGTGCCTGCCTTCACCTGGTCAGCAGGGCACCCCCCCGTCCTGGCGACAGCGGCCGCCACCTCATTCTCCGTCACGGAGTCGTCCAGGCCCATGATGCGTATCTCCAGGCATTTGGTGGGCCTGGACACGCGAGCTTCGTCCGCCGCAATGCACGCCCTGAGCCTCTCGGCAAGGGCATCAGCGGACGGGCCGCTGGCCGCGCCGGGGACCTCCAAGAGACGGGCTCCAGTGGCAGTGACCCTCACTGCGAACCCGTCGGGTGCCCCAAACTCCGCGGGAGTTACCGCCCCCTTCAATTTGGCGAGGTCCTCGCCATACGTCACCCCCTTTTTTGCCGCGTCCGGCTGTAGTGTGATAACTACAGCCGAAGATTTTGGGGCGAGGAGCATTGCCGCAGCGCGCTTCTCCTTGCGCCGCTGCTGTCGCCGCTGCCGCTGCTCCTTCTTGCGGCGCTTCCTCGCCTCCTTGGCGACCTTCCTCACCTCCCCCGCAACTTGCCACTCGCTACCAGCACGCGACTCAGACGGCGGAGTAGGTGCCGATGCGGCTGGGGCTTCAGCCGCTGCTCCTCTTCGTCTGCGGCTCATCGGCGCAGGAGCCAGCGCCGAGGGAGACTCGGGCGCCCTCGTCGGTGGCAAGGCTGGCGGCGCTTTCGCCCCCTTCTTCACCGGTGCGCTGGCTTGTGCCCCACGGCTGGTTGGCGGCTTGGGCTTAGCCGCTGCGGCAGCATACGACCCGGCTGCGAGTGGAGGTCGCAGGAGCCTACCCTCCAGCACGTCGAAACGCTGCTGGAAGGCGGCCATCTCCCGCCGCATAAGGCCGAGAAGGTCGGCCTCCGCTGGCTGCGCAGGTTGGGATCGGACTCCCCGAGCTGCGGCGAGCTCTGTTTTTGCTGCCCGAAGCTCCGCCTCCAGGGCAGTATTGGCAGCCACCAAGCGGGATAGCTCCCGCCGCATTCCAGCCAGCTCTTTTTGCATAGCGGCCATCTGCCGCTCAGCTGAGCCCGGCTGGGATACCGCCGACATAATAGCGGCTTCCGCGTGTTTAAGCACTCCATTTCTGCCAGCCTGGGTTTTTTGCCCAGCCAGCATGCGGAGTGCTTCCTTTACTTGTAGGCGGAGGCTCTCAGCGCCGCCTACAGAACCCTCACCACCGGAGGCCTCCATCTCCGAGGAGTCCGAGGGGGCAGCCTTTCCCAGGGCGCTCCCCTCCGCTGCCAGCCGCTCTGCCGGCTCAGATCGGCTCCCGGCCGTCCTTGTGGAGCCCTTCCCCTTGCCCCTACCCCGCGCAGCCGTGGGGATTTTGGGGGCTGGAGCCTCCTGCTCGTTCGAAGACGGCTCCAACCTGGGACGTTTAAAAACGCCCCGGTCTTTCTTGTGGCGCAGCGCGATGCTGACGCCAGACAATGATGAGTCGGACTCTGAGTCCGACTCCTTCCTGCTAGAGGCACGTGCACACGATGCATCTAGCGCCTCGGTTATATTCGCAAGCGAGCTGACCTCGCTTGCGTTCTCCTCACCGTTAGGTGGATTTTTATTTTTGTTTTTAGGTATCTCCATTGAAGTCCCACGAGTATGGGGGAAATAAGAGGTCCGCCCAGGGAGAGCCCCCTGTCCCTGGGTAAGTGTGCATTTGTCTCCCAAGTCCCAACTAGGGGGTCCACCGGTCCCCTAGCTGGGGGTGCGCTCACGACTGATCCTACTCCTCAGCCATACATACCCTCGCCGCGCACCAGAACTTAGTATTGGAGGAATTTTTTATAGAGGTTATCTTCCTCGCGGTCCGGGCGGTTAAGCCAAGACCCTCGTCCCGGTCCGAGTCATAAAACATGACCATGATCTCTTCCCGGATTACGATATCGACGGGTGCAGTCGGGCGCAGCTAGTGCCCCGATGCTACTCATTGGCAGGGTGAGTGCACAACGAGCGCCGCCCTTGTTTCTCCACCCCGCTCTCTGCTAGGTCCAGAGAGTCGTGCGGAGGAACGCCCCCACGGAGGCGTAGACTCTATGCCAGCATAGAGCCGGTCGCCTCTAGAACCCGACCGGGTTCTCCGCCCGGCCAGAAGTTCGCTGCGGGCGACAGTCAAACCAACCCTGTCACCATCCCGTTAGGGAGACTGTCGCCCGCACCCAGGGTGCACCACGGGGAGGTCTTCTGGCACGCACCCCCAACAATAATGGTAAGCCCACATTTTAGACCAATTTCCACCATAATATACTTTGGTATTACGAAAATGGCAGTGTATTTCAACCAAAAATATTTGCTACCTACGCTTTGTAGAAGCCAGGCGACCACAGTTGGCTCCTAGCTACAACAGCCGGAGTTGCGGGGTACGAAGCACAATGAGTCACCGTATATATCTAAGGTACCTACTCTGTGGCCTCGGCCCAGAGCAGGAGAAGAAACGAAGGGTGTTTAGTAAGAGTCTGAGTAATGACGATATAACCTATCTATAATGGTTATATCCTCTTTGAGTCTGACACTCCTTCCCGCCCTACTCTGGGCGGGTACCAGCGGGGAGTTGATGATTTTCCCCTCACAAAAAAACACGTTAAGGATCTACAGACATACCTACCTATTTACTGTTCTGTTGCTTTAATAATCGGTGGTTTTATAAATAGGCCCGCCTGATGCCTGCTTCAGCTAAGGACACTCCTACCTGCATCAATAATCAAGTGTGTGTTGCTGGTAAAACCACCTCTCGAATCGCGTTAGGGAACTATCATCTTCACGCCGCATCTTCTGTAGGACACTCCAGGCGTCAGGGATCGCGCGACCAAATCAGGTCACCATAAGCGCATGTGTCTGCGGATGGCGAGCAAGGGCAGCTCGTCACCCGAACATAAGCAGACCAGCCGATGACCACACATGTCCAGCCGGGCGCCAGCGTAGGTAATAGATAATGTACCGCGGTCCCGGCCCTGGCCTGGAGCAGGAAAAGGTGGTTTTTAGTCAGTACGAGTCCAACACTTCCTCTCGCCCCACTCAGGGTATGAGTAGTCATTTGATAAATTTCCACATAAAATAAGGTCCTTTCTGGACATGGTTGCTTCGTGTTATTCGTGTAGCACTTCGTGTGAGATGAAGCACAGCAGGTGCGTTGTGTATGTGTTGTTTGCTCAGAAGTGAGGACTTAAATGCTGATGATAACGGTCAAAATTGCATTGTTTTTCTGTCTTGTTGACAAGGGTCTCTCTTCCCTTCCCCTAGGAAGAGCGGGCACCTAGCTAAAGAAGTCAGGAACCGCTGCACGACCTGGAGTAGGGGCGTAGTTTACCACGCGCTCTGCTCGAGGTAGGGAGCCACAATGAGTGACGCGGGCCAGTGCAACAGAGGAACACTACAGTGGTTTTAGCCGGTGAGAGTTCAGGTCACTCCCTCGTTGTCCCCGAAGTGAGGAAAGTCAATGTTTCAGTGTATTATAAATAAAAAGGTATCTAAAGATTCCGTTTTACGCGCAAAAACTGATTCGCCGTTAGTCTAGCTATACTGATAATTATAGTGCTTACTAAAAGGAGAGCTAATTTTGTGCATAGGTACCAAAATACGCTGATGTCACCAATTGTGAAGACAGGGTGGTCGGTAAAGAATTAATAACCTACCTAAGTTATGATGTCTAGAATGATCCTTCGACATTCACGTAGGTACATTACATTGTCATTATTGCATAACAATGATGACTAAAAATTAATCATCCTGCAAAAATAAATTATGCAAAAATTGTATAAATTAATTTGAAGGATTTTATAAAAACTTTTTTTGATAAATTTATTTTTCGTATATTTTCTGAATGGTCATAAACTGTATCATTGAATCAATCAGTCATGATCTGAATGGTTATCTATTATTCTTCACCGGACACTGTTTATAAAACTGGTCAGTAAGAAATCTGCAGCAGTTTCGAAGGTAAGAAACTAAACCAAAAAAACTTAACAATATTTTTTAAATAAATAGCTGACAAGTTATGTCGACAACCCTAGTTGCTTTAGCTGTTGCTGGTGCACATTTTATAAAAACAAGGCCAAGGCTTATGTATACTTGTCTTCGAAAGAACATTATTTGGTCAAGGAAGCTACTGATGTGAATGTAGATTAATCAGATAACATAAATAGTAAAAATGATTTAGTACAGGGAATGTATTTATTTTCACAAAACCGTAACAGTATCACACTACATAATTATAACACTTCTCACAGAACAATACTAAGCATTGATTTAAGTATATAGAGTAATATGTGAATCAATGTGCAAAGTTAATTATTTACAAAAATAAACACATTTTCAAATCACAGTAGAAATCAAATTTATTTAAAATATTGAAATAAATTATTGCTTGTAGTAGAGAAATCTTGAAAGGTAATCTGGAAGATAAATAAGATTCATAGGGTATTATACAAGTCGAAAATAAATAACGATGGCTTTAGCACATAACAATGATTTACTTTATAACTAAATAAACACTATTTTTAATATTAAACATACAAACATCAAGTTTAGTATGTACAGAAATATTCAACAAAGGTCTGTACAATATTAATTTTCAAGGAACAACAATATGTGATTTCTTTAGTTCCATAATTTTAAACTGCATTCTAATACAATACTGTAGTAAGAACTTAAAGTTCTACAGACTTAATTGTCTTTCTTCATTCTTGTACTAGTCATCCTGTAGATGATGGAGTCCCTGCCTGGATCCATGTCCATCAGAGCATATACAATTGCAATCAAACTGAAAATGATGACAATGGCAAACCAAAGAATGATGTTGAAGATGGCAGGGTATTCAGAACTGTAGCTGTCATCAGTTTCATTTTCCTGTAATTTAACAATATTTTGTTATAAATAAAAATATTGCTTTACTTTTATACATAATATTAAGTAATGAAGAAAAAAGGTAGCTTACAGCTTTAAATTCCTTTGTTTGCCATTCATATTCTGGTGCTGATTTGCCATCTGGGCCAGCGGCAGGAGCTGATCGTATGGCGCGGCGAGTATGGGCAACATCAGTAGTGACAAGGGTAACTAACACAGAGCCATCGTAAGCTTTGATGAATGCCTTGTTGAGTTGATCAATAGCTTCACCTGTATAAAATATAGACATTTATTTGAATAGCTGTTCTTGTAAATTGCAACTAAAGTGTAGTCAAATGACTATTTTCACTTACCCAACAGTTTCTTGGCTTCTTTGGTTTGGGGAGAGTTAGGGCCATGGAAGTCACATAGAGGATGCAGGGTACGGAAGCGCAAGTTATAGAAATCAATCATGTTATCAGGGACAATACCACCATTCTCAATCTGTAAAGATTAAAAATAAATATTAAGTAACTGAAATTCAAGTAAATTATTTCGAAACATGGAAAACAAAACTAATTTACCTTTGTAGTAATAGCCTGCAGGGAGGCCAGCTCGTTTAAGAAGTGGTAGTCTTCTTCGACATTATATTTTAAGTGCATAAGGCTCAGTTTTGTAGGCTTGGGTTTCTTTGCATCACCAAAAATATTCTTCTTGAGCTGTGAATTAGTAAACATTTCAAATTTATAAAATACTTTTCTAGCCTTAACTTGTAAATAATAACTCTAAAGTATCGGAAATTTATAAATCATAAAAAATATCTTCTTTTCTTAATGTCTGTGACTAACATGAGACATACCAAATTTAAAATAGTGAACTAACATGTTGTGATACTGCCACGCTGTGCTTGCTTGCACTCAGAAACAAGTTTGTTTGGTATTTTAAAGTAGTAAAGCTTTTGTCAGTTATTTTTCAGATTTTTATATAAAAAATATCATTTATAACGTTTTAATTATGGTAATATAAGACACAATGGCTGCATTAACACCAGCATTCATTTGGAGTTTGATGAATTAAATCATTTACTGCTCTTTTTGTTATAGCTGTAAGCAATTATTAACAGTGCAATGGTCAGTGAACTAAGTTCTTTAATCCATATAGGAGTAAACTAGAGGTTATTTGAAATAATTGCTTAAAAATAACTTTCTCTTACCTCATCAACATCAGTTAGTTTGATGTTAACAATTTTGTTTCCACCATTAGTGAACCGTTGCTTGATGCGGTGCTTTACACCTTGGTAGGTGTCTGGTTCATATTCATCAACAATCAAAGGATAGGTTTTAGTTTTCAAACCAGTCTGCAAATAAAACCTTATTTTATATTTGTTCTATTTTAAATAATCTGTTTCTTTTAATGTCTATGAATACATACATGTCCAAGGCTGGAGACACCATCTATGTAGATTTCAACCACAGCCTCTGGGGTGTTGAAAGGATCCACCACATACATTCCCTTCCATTGTGAATTCTGTAAAATTGGCAATTTATACATAACTAAATATAATTATTGACAAAATTATTTTATCTTAATACTAACCCTGTGAATACATAGCACTTTCGTTACTCAGACCAAATCTAATGAGCAAAATGTAATAAGCATACTTGAAACATTCTTCTTAGTTAATATTAATACGCAGACGAGGGCAATTTTGCATTTTCAGGCCTTAGTTTAAATGTTGCTGTGCTACAATTTTTATCACACCCAAAAATATATGAATCCGTTTACAAAATTTGAATAATTAGAGCAAACCCTATTGGCAAATCTTTTATCTACACTTACCTCTTCAACAGATAGCCCAAGAGCAGCAGAAAATATCTCTTTCAGAAGGCTTTCCGATGTTTTTCCTGATCCCGTGAATTTTAGGGAGTCTGGACTATGGAGTATGTTGAACTCTCCGCTGGCATTTGAGCCTAAAATATATAAAGAACAGGTTATGCTATTGGGCTACATACTTTATTTGTCAGTAGTTTTTAAATATACTTACCAATTATTGAAAGAACAAGAGAAACCCAAAACAGAGCCATGGTCACAGCCATTTTGTTCGGAAAAAGGCGACTGACTGTCATATGATTTCGGTATTGCCATTTTAGTTGATTTAACTACCAACAGTACCAACCAAACGAACGACATGAATAAAATATATTTTATTTTAAGAAGTATGTTCATTATTACACAAAAAACAGTGGATTTTGATTTCTGATGTATGTACTTCTTGTTTTGGTTACCATTTGAGAGATTTATAGAAAAATAACGACTTTTTTACGTTTTTTTTATATTTGTAATAATCATGCAATATGCCCAACCCTACGCCATCTGGGATATTATTGAGATTGTCAACAACTGAATTGGTTTTTAGTAAAAAAATAATGTTTTAGGATAAAATAGGTATAGAAAAATAAAACTAAATTGAAACATTCATTCCGTTTCACTCAGCATTAAATTTGACATTCATCATTGCCAAAATGTCAAAATTATACCAATACACAACAACTACACAAGCACATAGTACAACACTCAAAACGCGCACGGCGCAACGTCAAGTCCAAATTCTAAATTACCAAAAATATATTATTAGTTTGTTTAAATTTGTTTTCAAAAATAGGTACTACTACTCAACTAAAGTTAATTTAAAACTCGAGTTCTATTTCAGAAACTTTAGTTGCTTTTCATGTGCTGATAAATATTTTGTAAACACTGGTCTGCAAGTTGTAAATAATGGCACAAAGGAAAACACTTGTACAAAACACAGATCTTTTCCCTAGGGAAATAGATATCGAGATATGTTTGAAAACGTTGAAAATATATCAAAAGTTAGAGGGTGATGTGAATTGTGTTGTTTGGGATGCTGCGTTAGTTCTTGCGAAATATCTTGAGACTATGTGCCAGAATAAACCAGAGTTTCTTAGCGGGATTAGAGTTCTTGAATTGGGTTCTGGAGTAGGTGTTGTCGGTCTAACTGCTGCTACATTAGGGTGTGTTTTTAATTTATAGCATTTAATTTATGTTCAATTGTACAGTAAGTATGTTGTAATGTACATACTTACATTCTGGAACAAATATTTTTTTATTTATATTTTAGGGCACAAGTAACATTAACCGATTTACCAGAGGCTCTACCTTTGATTCGTCTAAATATCAATGAAAACAAAGCAAAGATAGGCAGTATGGGCGGTTATGCCATAGCGGAGTCTCTCATATGGGGGGAAAGCAGCTCACTTCTAGATGATGAATTTGATGTCGTGGTTTTGGCAGACTGTATTTATTATGAAGAGGTAATAAATAGTGTTTTGATACCTCTACCATTTTATTATATTAAAGATATCCTTACACCTCTTAGCTATAGTATCATAGTGAAAATAATTAAGAAATATTTTATTCCAGGCTGTTGACTCACTTATTGAAACTCTAAAAAAGTTAACAAACACACCAACTAAGAAACCTGTTATGTATTTAACACAGGAAATGAGAGATTCTGATACACAGAGGGAACTATGGACTTCATTTTATGGAAAGTTAACAGACAACTTTAATGTGGAAAAAATTCCTGAGGAAGAACAACATGTTAATTACAGAAGTGCTGATATATTATTGTTAAGGATAAGTAAAAAATAATAATCAAATATACACAATACAATACAGGAATATAGATTAGATACTATTTATTATTGAATATAGGTACTTGCTTTCTACTGTGATTTAGCCAGATCAAAATTTCTTGCCAGTCTTGCCATAAAAAAATATAGGCCCAAGTTTGGCCTGTAAACAAGTATCCAAATAGGGTTTATTTTGCATTTATTATCAATTAAGACTAACTATAGGATATAGATGTATGATGGGGTTATGTTATTAACTAGATACTCTAAGTATCTACGTGATTTAAAAGTATATAAGTTTAAAATTTAAGAACTTTAGTGGAGTCTAAATTAGGTCGCCTTTCATAATAAACAAAGATAAAGAGTCAACATAGTTGAACTAAATAAATAATATGCCTTATGCTTAGTGAATATTTTTATGTAAGTAAATTTTGCTTGGCATACAGTGCGGCCGACGTATCTTGGCGAGTCTAAAGTTAGCCGTTTGTCTGTGCAATGGATCTTTTAGGAACAAAATTGTGTACTGCGCAGCTAATCGGCTAACTTCAGACGCGCCAAGATATGTTCGGCCGCACTGTACATACCTTATTCATTTATACATATGTAGTGCCTTAAATTAAATAATTTTGTAACTGAGAAATAATCAGCAATAAAGAAATTACTTTCTTTTATAGCAATTGAAATAATAAGCAACTTTTACGGGTATTTTTCTTAATAAGCATAATATTTAATAATATAATGCATAATTAGGAAGTAGTAGGTGATCTAAGTAGGCATCCACTGCACATAGGAGTAGATTAGTACTGTTATAAATTGGTCAGGGATAAAATTAAGGAAAGCAATAAACAAAAGATTGGTTTGAATGGATTGGATATCTTGTTACATAGTTAATTTTATTTAAGCCTCTATGAAGTTAATTTTAAATACTTAACATTTTTTATCGTTTTATAGGTATTAAGTTAAGGGTACAATAATTAGTGCTAAATTGTGTTTTTAAATTATTTATTATTTCTCATCACAAAGTCTAGAATGATGCATTAATTAATAAAACGGGTGGTCAGTTTGAAAAATATTTTTAAAGGGAATAAAATCATATTAACATTTTAATCTTGTTTTATTTACATTTGTAACTATGTATTATGATGAGAAATGAGTGTGGTGTTCATACCTTGCGTTTATCTGTCGTTTGTTTAAGGTAAATCACACGCATTCACGTCATCAGCCTATGACTGAGCAAAAGACTACTGAGACGACTATTAAGCAGTTTCTCACACGGAGAAACTGTTGAGCAAGTGTACCATAACCAGACTCGTAGCTTTCGTGAGACATTCTAAATTATTTATTATGTTTTAGGCTTACTCACGTAATAATTTGACGTTTTGACGAGTCGCGTGTCGCGGAATGCTGCTCATGAATATGGGCCTCTAGCATGGCTTGAAACTACTCGAGTATCTCGTCAAATTATTACGTGAGTAAGCCGAAAACATAATAAACAATTCAGACTCGTAACGTTCGGCGCTCGCCTCAAAGAGCTAATAGACTACCATAGATGAAGCCCTACAAGGCCGATGTTCAACAGAACTTGTGGGGCTATCACAATAAGGTACCTATGGCGGCTTCGGGCTAAAGCAGGAGAAGGAACGGGGTTTTTTTTTAAGCAGACACTCTCATCTCACCCTGGGCGACACTCAACATAATTGATGATGATTTATCTACACCTCACAAAAAAAGGTTTCCGCAAGATGCTTTACTTCACCGTTTCTCAGTGGTGTTTAAATGAAAAGAAAGTAGGTTAATAATTCTACGTTCAGATTGCATTTCGTCTAAATAAACCAATATAGTTTAGCTATAAAGCGTAAGTAAATTTGCACTTACATCACTATTGTCGAATTTCTAAAACTAGTCTGGATCTCAGAATAGAGCTGTAGGTATTCTGAGTTCTGGATTTCCTTTAGGTATCTCCAAAAAATTTCTTCTCTACATTTTAGGATCTTGTTGATCGTATTATTGCCTTCTGAAATTAGTGAACTTCAGAACTTCTTACCTAAGAAGTGAGACTGTGGTATTCGTCATATACCCATTATATTACTTTCCTGTTTGGTATTCGTATCGCCGCGATCGCCTTTCGCGAAATCATACATGTAGAAAAATAAGATGATCTTCGAATGTTTACAATTATTCCATAATTATTCTGACAGCAAAACCTGCCAGCATGACAAAAAGTATTTTTTTCTTATCATAGAAGAAAAAGATCACTAGGTACCATAACTTTGTTTTAACTAAGAACAACAAGGTACCTACCTACTTGTTTTTTGTCAGGGGAAACTCTTTAATGCCCGGTTCCTATAATTGAGAAACAATCCGTTTTAATTACGAATAGTAGTTTTATATACGACTCGTAAGCTAAAACCGTTCCTATAACAAACGTCTCGTCGTGCAACTTACTGACGGTTTGCAACTAACGGATGTCGGTAAGCGAATTGTATGGAGATCTATGGTGTCTGTGGTGTTCCTATAAATATTTTAACCGTCAGTAGACGGTCAAGATAACTATTCGTAATGTCATTTGGTCGTAATGCGTATACAACGACGATTCGTTAAATATAGGAACCGGGCATAAATGACTTCTCCCGCCCAGGGTAAGGCGAGAGGAAGTGTCAGACTCTTACTGACTACCCCCCATTCTTTCTTCTGTTCTGGGCCGAAGCCGCAAACTGTCTGCTGTGCAACCGGGTTCGATTCCCGCACGGACTAACACCAACTCTTAGTGTGATCCACAAATAGATGTTTTGGATCTGGGTGGCTTGTGTACCTATGTTAATTTTTATGTTTGTAAATGCACCCACGACACAGGAGAAAATACTAGTGTGGGGCATCGTCTTCCTTAAAACAAATATCGACAAGTCCCCTATGTTCACTACTTCCTGCAAAGGAAGCTCCAAAGAATGATTCAAGCTGATCCCGTAGTTTCAGAACCTAAAGTAGTTTCGGAAACTTTTTTTGTGAGGTTATAATCAACCAACCCCAGCTAGTTCTAGTAGGGCGGCGAGCTATCATTACCTACTCACCGGCCGCAGATCATCACTCGTTCCCCAACGCCCGGGGTATTGTGGTATGACCTGCTGCTGTGGCTGGAACGTAAGGACGATCGGTGCTTCCTCACGCGCTCTGCCTCCTTCGGCGAGCATCACTGCTTCGCAGAAAGAGGAGACGGCTTCCCAGTTCCTATAGCTCCGCACCACGGCATCGACTAAGGCCGGGCGTGAGGCCGTCGCCGCCGTCGGTCATTCCATGAGGAGACTGCGGTGCTCAGCCCAAGAAGGGCACACTGCCACCGCATGTTTCACTGAGTTCTCTGGGACCACCCAGAGGACTCAGGGCGAGGACCACCATTATAAATCTTATCCTAATACCATCGTGAGGACCACCTCACAATGACGACACTCGGGCGTTTTCTTCCGCCGGATTCGAAACAGGAACCTAACCTGCGTCTGGTGGAAGGTGAGGATGTCATGGCGTCTCAAGCTATTGCTCAAAGAGGGGTTATAACGCTGCCCAGCTTGCCCGAACGTTGAGTAGGATGACCTATGTCATGTGTGGTGTGTGGTCACCCTGCTCAACTAAATGTCTGTGTGTGTGATGTACCTATATAGTAAAATAAAATTAAATGACCAGTTTCAGGTAGGTAAATACCTACACGAGACGCAACTTTGTGTTTTTAACATAAGAAATTGCGGAAATAGGTACTTAGTTACAAACGAGACTGTTATTTATTCTCTTTGTTTACAATATTGGGAGACGTCACTGTCTACTTTTTTAATAAAATTTGCCGCTGCCACACACGTACCTTTTAAGACGTCGACCATCTCAGGGTAAGAATACCCGCGTCTTAGGATTTTTCATTTCACGATGATTTTTTTTTATTGTGTGAACAAATTAGCTTTCTTACCTATTGCCCGCGACTACGCTGCTTTTCATTGCGTAGATATGTTAATATAAATCAGCCTATATGTTAATCCAATCATTTATTTAGGTACAAAGTAACCAAATTTCAAGCAAATCGGTCCAGCCGTTTTTGCGTGAAAGAATAACAAACACACATTGTCACAAACTTTCACATTTTCTACTTACCTAGTAGGTACTTTGTAATATTAGTAGGATATTAGGATAAGATTTATAATATTTTTAGGATTAGGATTATTCCACTTTGAAAATATATCACAATTAAATTCTAGCAATGTCCCTAAGCTCCCAGCAAGGCACAAATTAAACAAATAGCTTATGCGAGTATAAGAAAGAATTTATTTCACAAAAATACCTATGTTGGCCCTACCTATCGTATGTGTTTACGCAATTAGGTAGGTACATTTTGAGATGTCAAAGTCTTAAATCTACTATTTAATACTAAAAAAATAACATGGTATTTTTGTACACTATGGAATATTAAAGGATAACCTACTTTTTATAAGATGAAGATTATTTGGCGACCTGAGGTACTTCTTATGAACGAGGATTTGAAACCTGACAAGTATCAATGTGACTTTTTTTGTTACCTATATATTTTTTATACATATCTACCTACCTAGATATGTTTATCTTCTTTCAAATATCTTCTAAAAATCTTAATCATAGATAATAATAATCGCCATCTGCCATGAGTAATGTGGTTGTTATGCTCAAACCTTCTGACCTATGAGAAAAGCTTTATTCAATAGTGCGCACTTATAGGCTGATGATAAAGATGTAATTTTACAACTTATTTAATTATCTTTCTTCATTCTTGTATTAGTCATTCTATAGATAATGGAGTCGCGGCCTGGGTCCATGTCCATCATAGAATACATTATAGCAAGCAAAGAGAATGTCATGATGATTCCAAACCATAGAAATATGTTAAATATAGCGGGGTAGTCGACTTCAAATTCGTCAGTTGCTGTATTAGTATTATTTGTTGTATCTGATGAATTTGATGGCTGTAAAGATGAAATAAATGTATTTCAAATAATATACCAATATCTCAAAAGAAAAATCAATCTTAACTTATAGCCGATTTCGTGCGTCTTACCGTAGACGGTTCCGTGGCATTATTGGGATCTAAGATCGCCCGACTCATCCATTCGTAATCGGCAGTTCCATCTGACTTTTTAAATTTGTAACGATTCTTTTTCAAATTGGAGCTTGTATCTAACCAGTCAAATGGCCATTTTCTATCAGTGTAATTAAGGTCTTGTGTAGAAACAGATCGTGGCTGGCGGCGAGTGTGGGCGACATTCGTGCTTACGACAGTCACTAATACCGAACCATCATATGCTGTGACAAATGCCTCGCTAAGGTCTTGAATAGCTCCGCCTATAAAGAGATTAACGTATTTGTTAAACAACAGTATAGCAATGTAAATAAAGACAATCAATAGGTATCTACGTTGTTATTGTTTAACGAGTAGTTACGCTAACATCACTGCCGCGCTAAAATTCAAATTAACACCAGAACTATAACTAAATCTTTTGTGTAACCACCTGTCCACGCTCGATCGCTCAAAGATAATTCGCATGATAGAAAAATGGACTAACTCAAAAATGAAGATATTCCAAAATTGAACCTTATTATTGAAGCATAATTTTTAAGATTGAAATACTTTATTTTTTGAGTTAGGTTACTTTTCTATTTAGCAAACGTCTTTGAGCGAATTGACAGGAGTGCGATTCACTAAGGCAAAACATCTTTACAACCGAGAAATCATCGTTGAAACATCTGATGAAAACTTATCGGTATTCTTTAGTTAAAACTGCGCGGTCGTAGCGCCACAACGATGTCGACGGCGCGACATAGAACTAAAATATGGTTCCGAATGTATGAAAAACGGTATTCAGAAACACAAAACATCCTCGCCTTCAACGACAACGGCGCCTTCGCCTTAGATTTTACCTGTCAAAGCGTAAAGCTTGTAAATTGAAGATGTTTCCTTGGTTGTAGACATTAAAACGTAAGTAAAACAAGTTATTTTTTAAATTATAAATGCTTAGTATTGTTTTGTTTACCGTATTTTAATTCGTGAAACTTTAATGCCTATTATTAATGTTTTAAATGGCAGTTCGTCTTTCCTGTATGATTTTTTTGTTGGAAGAAGCTAAGCGTCGAGATAATGTAGAAAAAAGAAGTCAGGCACATGTGATACGTAACATGGATCTTCTTACTACTGATACAGAATTTATTAAGGTATTCAGGTTGACTGAAGAGTCAATTAAACAATTGGAAGAAGATATTTCACCATTTTTAGCAAAGACGAAACGTAAAGGAGGAATTTGCAAACAAACTAAAGTATAACTAAATTAATTAAATTTATATTATTATTATTACAACTATTATATCACTATACTTATAGTGAAAAATGTCTAAAACTTATCACATTCTAGATTTTATGCACTCTCGCATTTTTAGCTAATGGGAGTTACCAAAAAATATTATGTGAGAATACAAAAAAGGTGACTAGCTTTTCCAGCTGATCTAACGAAGGAGATGCGTTGCGAGACACTAAAAGTTAAATATTTTGGTTACTTATATAGTAGTTTCACAAACTGCTATACATGTTCCACAAACTGGTATATAGAAATGTAACTATATACTTACTTTCGATAGGTTTGGGACCAAACTAAAACACAGAACAAGTAGAACGTCATTGGGTTGGGGTGCACAATTTTTTAAAGTCCACTTAGCCACTTAACACCACTTAGAACTTTGGAATTTCGTAATTTGATAAAAAACTTTCAAGATAAGATCAAGTTGTTTGTTTTGAAATACATAACCTAAAAATAAAAGTGTCAAAGATTTAGTTTTGTTTTATTGCTATAATCAAAATTAATTATTTTCCAAGTCTAAAATAATATAATTAATTAAACATTTGTTGCTTATTAAATATAACGTGATTTGTAGATACGTCTTGTGCGTTTGTATTAATTTAAAATGACGAAATAACTTAAACATAGGTTAGTCGAGATTTTCTCGATTATACTCTAGATTAAACATAGCAACACTGCCAACATCATACTCATCATCGTTGTTCGGCAGATCGTCGACGAGCTTATGTAGCTCAGCGAATACGGTTTTTATCAACGTTGTTTTTAGAAGCGATATTTACGATGAAACATCCGTAAACGCGTCGTTGTTAACATCTATGATGATTCTGTTAGTGAATCGCATTGCAGGTGTTTTTGAGTCTGTTATAACAGAATCTCGAAAAAAAAATTTATATGTTAGTATAGTAACTACCTATCAACTGATAAATTTTTTTAATAAATAGATAGATAGGAATGTTATGTAGGTAATTTGATTACCTAACAATTTCTTAGCTTCTTTAGTTTGAAGAGAATTGGGTCCATGATAGTCGGATACACCATGAAGCGTGCGAATACGAAAACTAAAGAAATCAATTTGGTTGTCTGGAACAATGCCGCCATCTTTGATCTGTAGATTAAGTGATAAGTAAACATTGTTAAGTAGGAACTTATCTCAAAATAAATGAATTGTTCAATATATAATTATACATAGGTAAGGTACTTTTATTATAACTTTCGTGAGACATTCTAAATTAATAATCATGTTTTCGGCTTACTCACATATCCAATAATTTGACGACTAGTTTGTGGTTGCGCTGTTGCGGGTCTGGAGTGTGGTGTGACACAGTTAGCGCGGTATGTAACACACTTGCGTCTACTCGTGCGCGTGAATCGCGGCAGAGGGCGCGTAGGGACCGCAGACTCGAGGAGCCAGTAGCAGCGCGACTTACTCAAAGAGCGCGACAGTCGCCACGTCGCGTGTCGCGGAATGCTGCTCATGAATATGGGCCTCTAGCATGGCTTGAAACTAGTCGAGTATCTCGTCAAATTATTACGTGAGTAAGCCGAAAACATAATAATTAATAGTTAATTTACCTATTAAGTAGGTACCAAATTTTTTAGATATTTTATACCTAAGCGAGCCAAGCAGGGCAATCACTTGATGGTAAGCAACCGTCCCCCCTATGAATAGGTACTAGCAACAAGTGCTTTGCTGATTTTTTGGGAATAAAGAATCGGGTTTCGGGGATGTTCTTCTTGATGACTTCTTTATAAAACTGTCTGTCCACCTCGAAGAAGCTGCGCTACTTATCCATAGGTTGTAAGGTTGTAGGTGGTATACAGGCAGGATCTTACGCAAAATATTGAAGAATAATAGAACAATGATTTAACTTACCCATTTAATTACAGCTCGTAAAATCTCAAGCTCGTTTATGAAGAGATAATCTTCTTCCACGGTATGCCTTAAGTAGGCAAATGTCTCTTTAGTAGGTTTGCCAATTAAAAAGTTACCAAATAATGTGCTGAACTGTAAATATTAACTTATATAAGATAGACCTTGATTTCATTAGGTAGGTAAGTAAGTACCTAATAAAATTGAATATAGCCAGATACAAATAACTATTTAATTACTACAAAATGCTAGCTTGCTTTTTATGAAATGCATAAGTCATGCCCAAGGTAAGTACCTAGGTAGACAATTTTAGAGTAAACAACCACATTAAAATTGTCTTTAAAAGTACGTTGAGGTCATGATGCGGCCCACTGCTGTATTTTCAACGAAGCCGATGAAGCCGAAGAACGATGCGCGGCGTCTTCGTAATCGAGTCCTAGTCAGCACCGTCAGGTATACGACAATGGTGTGGTTGTTTACACAAGTCTCCGACGTGAAACAACCACAGCGTTGTGTTTCGCCGTGTGAGTGAGGTTACCGGAGGCCCAATCCTTCCCCTCCCCCGATACCTCCCAATCCCTAAATCTCCAAAACCCTAATCCCTAAAAGGTCAATCGGCGGCGCTGCTGATTACCTACTTACCATCAGGTAATCCGTCTGCTCGTTAGCCAACCTATTCCATAAAAAAGGTACTTTTGTACCTACCTAGGTATATAGGTATGAAGGGATGCCATCAAAGCGCCGAAACGCCGCCGGGTCTACGAAATGATATACATAGGTAGGTATACCTTAGCCGTGCCTTAGCTATCACACGTAAGCTTTATTCTATAACTACGGTATGTAGTTAACTCCGGAGTACCCACTTACCTATAAGATATAAGTATGAAAACTATGTTTTTTTTGTGAGGGGAGAGTCATCAAATGACTTCTCCCGCCCAGGGCCGGGGCGGAGGGAGTGTCAGACTCTTAATGACTAAAAACCCCCCTGTTCCTTCTCCTGCTCTGGGCCGAGGTCGCGGTGCCTCATTGCGCTTACCCCGCAACCCCGGCTGAACATCAGCCTTATAGGGCCCCGTCTGTGGTGGTCTATTGGCTCTTTGAGGCGCGCGCGGAACGCTACGCGCCGTACGCTCGGGCTTGGTTCTGGTCGGGCGGCGAGCTGCCCTTACTCGCCAACCGCAGACCCGCGCTTACGGTGGCCGGAGATCATCCCTTGATCCCCGACGCCCGTAGTGTCGCCTATTGCGGCGGCTGGGGCGTGACGAGGAGGATTGCTCCCTCAAAATTATGTAACGTTCCATTTTACCTCATATCCATCACTTAGTTTAACATTTGCAATTTTATTGCCTCCTTCCGTAAAATGCTGCTTTATTCTTTCTTTTACAGCTTTGTAGGTATCTGGTTCATATTCGTCTACAGTAAGCTTGTAGGTCTTCAAAGAAATCTGCAAATAAATTAAATTGAGCTATACAAATGCTATTAAGTACCAATTTCTGTAAAAAAAGTAAAGTTTCCCTCAATTCTCTTGTGATCTTATCATCAGATCCTGTTCAGTGGCAATGACCTTGAAAGTATAAGCTTTCGAACCAAAAAAGAATATCGGTAAGAATATGAAAACCGGTTCATAGGCGACGAACTTTTGCCCGGAGTGCGGAGTGCCCGAACAAACATAAAATAGATGTAGGTATACTTATGCAAATAAAGTAATAAGTATTTATATTTTACATTTTTCCAATGCCACCAATCAAGTGTATGGTTCCTATGCTAGCAATGTTTTGACCTACCGTACTTATTTTGATACCTAAGTACCAACTATTGATTCTGTTTAGGTACGCAAAAGCCAGATATATTTTCTTCTCTACATAGGTATAGACAATGTGTAGGTAGTAGGCAATTAGGCATATCCAAAAAAATAAAAAAAAAATAAACTAGGTACGTAGGTAATTGATTTTCTTACATTTTCACAGAGACTGTTTATGCCATCGATATATAGTTCCACAACTGCTTCAGGAGTGTCAAAAGGATTCACGACAACCAAGCCTTTCCATTCTGAATTCTAAAAATAAACAAGAAGGTTTCTTAATATTATTCACTTGATAGCTGATGATGACAATTCGGCCTGAAAAGTTGTAAGCTGAAGAGAAAGTGTATTGGACTTTGTCAGCGAAACGATGAAAGTTCATATAGGCGAGTAGACTTATAGTGGAACTAATATAGACAATATTTTTGAAGATGTAGCAACCTCCAGACACATTGTTTTCGAAATGTGACTAAATTATATGGTGGCGAAAAGGGCGGTATACGATCAGCTGAAGATTAAGCTCATTGGCGTGCTATTTGAGATATCTACCTTATAGTACAAGCTCTAAATGGTGACAGGATGATGTTGATTGCTAATATAGTAGGTAGGTATCTACTTGACCTGAACCTGGCTTGAATACTCACTTGTTCCACAGAGAGCCCAAGTGCTGCAGAAAATATCTCTTTCAAATGGCTTTCCGAAGTTTTGTCAGTTGAAGAAAAATGTAAAGAATCTGGAGTGTACAACACACTGAACTCACCAGCCGCTTTTGAGCCTAAGGATCAACAAATACAATTAAGCAGTATCTACTTACTTAATCGTTATTATAACTAGCACCCGTGCTTCGTCATGTAATAAAGTAAGAACCGTGTGCCCTATGTATCTTGTGCAAACTCCACAGAATCCATCTACGAAATGGTCCGAACAAAACCTAAACATTTGGTTTGGACAGGTGAGTTCTTGAGTTATAGTAGAATTACAACAAAAAGTGTCATTGATTTTTAAATTTAAAGATGCAGTATAAAATAATGTAAGTTCATTACCAATTACTCTTAAAATAAGAGTTACGAATAATAACATCATATTTACGCGGTTCCCGCCCATGGTACCTAAAATTAGGAACAAATAATAGATATCCTGTACGTCGCTATACTTATTTACTTAATTTTATTTACTTTACGTCAATGATATTGTTGAATGCAATTCTGATAGCATGCCCCTAGCAACGATTCGGCATTTAAAATTAGATAGGTATCATGATATCATGTTTTGTCACTTTTCAGGCACTCAAAGAAGGATATAGATACCGACCAACCTACCCCTTCAACCGTCTGTATCTACAAATTATCCTAGAAATCTCATTAGGCTACATTAAACTAAATTATTTATTATTTATTATATTATTTTTTCTTTGTCATGTCATGAAGGAAAGGTACCGTCGTACTAAAACGTAGTGGTTACATACTCTTTGGTCGTTGCTATATAGAAAATTAGAAACAGCAACTACCAGTTCTTTGTGACGCCGAGTTCGTTGACGAGGAGGAGCGAATGGAATTTTCGGATAGAATGGGTGTTTTTAAAATGTTTGCCCAGACTACTTATTTCGGGTTTGATAATTTGGTTTTATATTGTTACGTGCCTGACGTCACGTTCCTAACTATGCGGGCTTGGGTTACGGGATTGGATGAAATTAAACACTAATACCGGTTTTCAGACTTTCTATTGCACTTAAGTGACAGCGTCCACGGATACGGATAAGTTATCGGCGTTCCTCTCCAGCAGAGTCCGGCCGACTGACACAACTTTGCCGTTCACTGTTCACGCTGACTTAACTCACTTAACTGACTGCACTTCACTATTTCACTGTACTTCACTATTTCACTCACTTTTCTTCTTTTCACTTCTTCCTTTTCTTCCGAATCGCTTTGGACTTAGAACTCAACTGCCAGCGGTGAGCCGCAGTTCCGCTTATATACCCCTGGTCAGGTTCTAGAACATTCAATTTCGTTATTCTTTTTGATCGTCATGCCTCCAGAACCTTCCAATAATTTCGTTATTCATTTTTATTTATTCTCCTTCTCGCTCCTTAATTTTTCATTACTTTCACTCAAATATTCCAGAAAGTTCGACAAAACTTCCATCAACTAAAAAACTTCATGTTTACGGCGGGTCTCGAACTCGGGGTCTCTGTGGTGTAATCCACACGCCTTACCGATTACACCAACTCGTGTTGACAATTCACGACGAAATTTACAATCTCTAGGCAACGTTTGACAACCATCCATTGACGTCATGATGTCAAAGAGTTTTCTGTCACACTGCCCCCCTCTTAGATTCGCTCGTCCCGAGCATCGTTGCTGCCGTAATACCTCGCCAACCTGTCTATATGGACAACTTTCAAAGGGCTCCTTGAAGACTTCCGAATTCTGTAAGTAATGTCATTGATCTTCGTGACTATCTCGTAAGGACCTTCCCAACTCGGTTGCAGCTTTGGAGATTTTCCCTTCCTTCTGACTGGATTATGAAGCCAGACCAATGACCCCTCTTCAAACCCAACAGAATTGGCTCGTCGATCATAGCGCGTCTTTGCGCGATCACTAGCTTGAAGACCGGCCTCCCTGATCTGCTCATAAATGTCCAACATTTTTGCCCTTAACTCGCTTATGTAATCGCTAAACTCGGTGCGAGAGTCACCAGGTGGACAGCCCGATACAAGATCTGCCGGTAATCTCAATTCCCTTCCAAAATTTGCAAATGCAGGCGTCTTTGCGGTACTTTCATGTACAGCAGTCCGATAGGCAAGCA